AGCCTGCTCCTCCCTCTCCCACTCCCCCTGCTTGTATTCCCTCTCTCGCTGTGTCTCTCTCTGTCAAATAAATAAATAAAATCTTTAAAAAAAATAAAATAAAGTAAGCCATCAGAGGACTACCTTAGTGTTTGCAAAATCTAAAAAATAACATGACCTTAACAAAGGAAAAGAACAAAGATTTCCCATTGCCAGCCCTGCCCTGATGGGGACGAGCCGCTCCTGGAGGTGGAAACCTGCTGCTGATGGGGTTTGGGGTGTGAGGAACAGCGAGGACTCCTAAGCCTGCCAGAGCGCACCGTGCAGGGGGGTCTGCGATCCTGCAGGGGCTCTGCGTGCACACACAGCTGGTGAGGCTGGCTGTCTCCTTGCTCCAGGCACCTGGAGTAGCTTCACGTGTACCGGGCCTAAGGAGAGACCCAGTGTGGGCAGCCCACAGGCACCTTCGTAAAGCTGCAGGCCCAACCACTCAGGTCAGATTAGGAAGATTCTATGTTGTCATTTTATTTCTTTGACTTCCTGGGAACTTAATGTGGCAATGGAAAAAATGTCAAGTTCAAATCACCCTGAAAGGGCTCCTAGGGACAAGGAACATGTGATTCTCCCTCTGGAGGGCACAGATGCCTGGGGTGGACGTGCTAATGGCACCCAAGGCAGAACCTACCTCCCCCATCAAAAAGAAAGCAGTAGGGCACGCAGGGCGTGACCTGCTAATTTCATGCTTGCTGGCAGGACTTCTGTCTTGACATGTTCCTGGGACAGGAGATGCCAATTTTCATTATCTTGATGCTTCTCTAAGTCAGAATGCCTGGTGTCTGGGACGATGCGTGCCACGCCACGTTAGCGTGGAAAGTTGGAAAGTTAGCGGCATCTCCAAATAGAAAAAAACACCCAATCAGGGTGGTTGGGAGCGTGCGCTGGGCTTTTTTATACCTACTCAGCATTGACCTATCAAGGAAAAACAGAGGTTCGAGGGACAGAGCTTTCCAATGTGTGGCAGGAGCTTGAAAAAAAGCCATGAAGGGGTCACGGGCCTTCAACCTTCAGATTTGGCTTATAATATTTTTGTTCTTGTTCCAAAGTCATCCCCTCAAGGCTGGGTATCATGCTCCAGTCTTCTTCTTTGAGGATTGATCTCGAAAGCCAGCACACTCAGAAAATAAACATTGACATTTGAGAAATTCCTCACCCCCTCAAAAAAAAAAAAAAATTTCCCAAAAGCTGGATCATGGGAACACTTTTCTTCCTTCTCTTAGACATCTCCAAATAAATAGCGTGCTTATGGAAGAGCATCCTCCAGGCGAAGATCCGGGAGCTAGGGCACTGGGCGATGGGTCCCTCTGGCTGGGCTTGTCACTTCACTTTTCGAACAAATCACTTTTCTCTGGACTTGCTTCTTCACTCAAGAGCCCTGGAGCCTCTCCCAACCTAAGAAGCCTCAGGGCTTCGGGTGAAGAGGCAGAGCAGGGATGGGGACGAGACTTGGGCAAGTCTTGGCCTCAGTTCCCTTATCTGTGAAATAGGGTGATGGCTAGGTCATATTTAGTTTTCACCACTCAGGACTCCGAACCCCTTAACTTCCAGGTCAGGGGTTGTCTTCTAATTCCGAAACCCAGGGATATCGGACACGGCTGGCCTTGACTCCTTCCCGTATGAAAGGCACTTGGCCTCAGGGCGGGAATCTCCCTGCAGCTACAGGGAGAGCTAAACAGTAAAGCTTATATGACACAGGGCAAGGGTTGACTTGCTTGTGGTTGTACACAATACCTTAGCTATATAAACCTCCCGCCCTGATAAGTCAATGCCTTGAGTATTCTGCCAGGGTAAAGTTCCTTCTAATAATGCGGGTGCTACCAGACACAGACTAAATACGCATGCTGCTCCCCAAACAGGAACTGCGGAGACGGGGAGGGAGAAAGAGGGAACGCCCCCGGCCATGCCGATGGAAGGGAAGGGAGAGGCCTTGGCCAGGGAAGAGGGCAATGGACTCTGTCACTGCCCCGTGGCTTTGGGCACGTCACTAGGCCCCTGGGAGGCCTCAGTGTTCTCATCCATCAAATAAGGATGGGCCCAGCTGATCCCTAAGAGACTGTGGCCTCTACCACGGCATGGTTTTAGCATCTTCTTGGGCAATGATCCAAAGCGTAAGACTGGTCCAAGGGTCTGAAGAGGAGGGTGTTGGGGGAGGGGACAGAAAGAAAAAGATGTGAAGACAGAAAAACAGAGGAAGCTGGCACGGGACCACCCTCCCCATACAGACCAGCACCCAAGGGGTTGGCTCGGCTAAGGCAATGGGGGAGACGCGCCCAGCCCATCCTCAGAGTCCGAAGAGAAGCTGGCGTGTTGAGTACCAGAAGTGGCAGATTTGGACGTGAATGCTGGGGGAGCTGTCCGCTGTCCCTTGATGGGCTCCCCACTCCAGCCACAGCCAGTGATCTTTGTGGCTTTGGGCTTGCTATGTCTGGGGGGGGGGTCCTCCAGGCCTGAGTAGGGCACCCTACTGCTCCCAGGCCCAAACTGGGCTTTGGCAGCAGCGCACTCCTACTGACCTACTGCTGCTCTTGTTGGGGCTTACATTCGGTCCTCTGGCTGCACCCTGCATATGGAGAGGCTAGGAGGTGGGGGGGACGCAGTGCACCGGCAGTCTCCGGGCAGGCTGGCTCACGATGCCCCTCAGGGTTCTCTTCGATGGGTAACGAATCTGGGATTGTTAATCTAGACACCCAGAGTCCCAGGAGACCGAGCCCCAACTCCACAAGGAAACCCACGAGTCTGATTTTATGATGCAACAAGAACCATTTCTGAAAAGCTCAGGTGTGTTCTTTCTAGAGAATTGTGAAATCCTCCCTACAACGCGTCCCACTGCCACCCAAACAGGAGGGAGAGTCTAGAAGCCCTTCAGTCTCACTCAATAGTACAAAAAGTTTCCAAGTAAAGAATTTGTACTCAGGGGTTTTAGAAAGACTCAGGGTTTCTACACTATGGGAAATAAGGCAAAGCAATTAATATACGTTGTTTAAAAGAAAAAAAAAACACTGCAGTCAGGCAGGTGAGATACCGGGTTAGCTGTTAGTTGGGCTTGTTTCTGGGAAGTTGGGAGACTGGAGCTCTAGTGGGGGACAGGGCGGAGGAGGAGGGCTCTGTGTGGGCAGAGGCAGGTGCCACCATGAGCTGCCAAGGCCACACTCAGGGTAGTTGGTACGGACAGTATCCTTTTTTGCAGGATTAGTAGGCACAAGGACACATGGCTGGATCCTCCCAATTTGGAACTGGCGTGGACGTGGTCTCCAGGAGTCCTGCTCTATAGGCCACCCACACATGGGGACCCAAACCCCAGCCTGTCCCTGAAGAAGTAAATGAGGGGCCCAGGCAGCCTATGTCTCTAAGAATGACCGTGGGGTCTAGTATAGACACAGAGCTGTGCAAAGGTCCCTGGCTCCGAGCCAGGGTGGCAGGCAGATCTCCCCACCCCCTCGGTTCTGATGGCTCCGTGTGGCCTGTGGCCTTGCATGCTGGCCACACCTTGCTCAGGCAGGTGACCCCCACTGTGCTGCCTACCATCTTGGACATGCTGGCCACAGCCTAGCACAGTTTCCAGGGCTCAGTTATGCGTCCTCCCTGGTGTGTGTGCCTGGTGTCTGCCTGGCTCCACCCAGAGGCTGACGCTTCACTGTTTTTTATCATATCTCCTTCTGTGCATCCTCTCCTGCTCCAGTCCTACCACACATGCACCCACAGACCTTTGGTCTCTATGTTAGAGGTGCTCGGTGAGGGCTGTGGCTTCATTAGGAATGAAATCATCACTCCAAGGCAAGCAGCCTGGAACGAGATCACCCTCTCTCTCTGTACCACACTCAGGGCCACCTGACCAGATGAGGCAGGAGAGGCCTGCTCAAGCTCTACTTCATGAGAACTGTGTTTATGATATTAAAACGCCCCTGGCTTAAAAACTAATGATGTACTATATGTTGGCTATTGAATTTAAATTTAAAAAAAAAAAAAGAAAAAAACCTCCCCTGGCTTTGTCTTCTTTTCACTCTGTTCCTATTGTGTTTGTGTGTTTCTTGAAGATGTCTCAAATTCTTCTAGGGGACATAGTGGACACAAATAACTCCATCATAAAAACCCATCAGCCTAGGACTGCCAAATTCATAGGCTGGAGGGGGCTTCTCCAACCCATCAGAGGATGCTTTTGAATCTGTTCTCTTAGAAACGTCCCTTCTGAAGCAAAAGCCACAGGAACTTGTGCTCTATCCTGGAAAAGTGAATACTGCCGGGAGCTCCAGAGACAGTAAAAGGAGGGAAGGAGCCCTCCCCTCACTCCCACCAATGTCCCAGACCCTTAAGACCCAGGGGCACGGACCTCAGCAGAAAACCAGAGAAGGTATTTCTGGGGCTGGAAGTCTGTGGCTTCAGGAGATTGCACAAATGCAAGAGGGGAAAATTTGGCACCCAGTCAGAAAGAGAGAATGGCCTTGTACTGTCTGACTCACAAGGGCTCAGCAGGTGACACAGGTAAGCGCTGGGGTGGACAGGGGGCTCGGCTCAGCTGGTGACTTCTCACCATTCCTTGGGTTATGAGCCAGCTGTCTATGGGCTCCAGGTCAGAGTCCCCACCTTTACCTCTCTTCTGGGCCGAGGACAGAAAAGTCCCAGAAAGAAAAGTCACAGCAAGACCCAGATAAAGAAAGCAACAGTATATATCATGGAAACGGAAAAGCCACTGTTCAGAGTTGATCTGTTGTCATGGAAGGAGATGTGACCCATTACCCCCCACCCCCTCCAGCAAGTTCCCCCTTACCTGCCTGAAAAAACAGAAGAGAAGTTTAGTAACCGAGAATCCCGACAGGGTACCATATACTCCTGCCAATTATCCCTGTACACTTGGAAAATCTCCGGGAGGTCACGGAAGGTTGACCATGGCCGCTTCTCCTCATTAGGGCTCTCAGGGTTGGCAAAGGTCAATTTTTTCAAAGAACCAGCTCTTACGAAGTCATTACTACTTTTTTTCTAACTTATTTCTGCTTTTTTCCTCCTTCTCAGTTACCTGTGTGTTCTTTTCCCAAACTCTTAACTCGAACGCTGAATTTGGGTATATTGCCCTTTTTTAAATAACAGCATGTTAAGGTAAGACTTTGGATTTGGTTGCACCGTGGAGGTGTGGCTATACAATTTTCTCCCCTCGCCTGTGTTCTTCATTTCTCCTTTGGCCCGGTTTTCATTTGCAGGTCAGCACAGTTTAGGATACGGAACAACAGAAGCTGAAATCCTGGCCTGAGGATGCATGTGGGTCAGTGTGTGTGCACGCATATACCAAGGTGCAGACAGAGACAGACACACATGCGTGCGCCGCACAAACCCTGCTTCCTCCCACCGATCAGTACACATGAAAGCAATCTGCCTACAACCACCTGCAATCAGGTGGAAAACATGCTGGCATCATCAAGATCTTTGAAAACGGGGAGATGCGCCAAGCCACACAACCCAAAGGGCGAAGGGCGGGAAGCTGGCCACCTCTCCTGCGCTCCGATCCAGGCCTAGACACTGCTAAGGGCGGAGGTGCGGTAGGACACACCCTGGCGTGGATGGAGGCCGGCCCGGGAGGCACAGGGGGAAGCAGACCAGGTGGGCCAGGCAAGGTCAGGGTGGGCCAGGAGGAGGGGATGTGCTGGGGGGCCCTCAGCCCGGCCTCCTGACACCCTCTCTGAGTTGGGTAGGAGACATTCCGAGTAATGGGAGAAACAGAGCCATGACCACCGCATAGATTTTGGGAGTCCCGGTCCTGGGGAGGGGTGGAAAGGCAGGGTGCTGAGACCCAAGGCACTCGGGCTGGCTCTTCTGTGCCCCCTAGTGGCCAGTGCAGAGGGCCGCACAGGCCTCCTATCAAGTTGGCTGAGCCACCACAGAGTAAGTGCCTTCCCCAAGGCGAGCCTTCTCAAGGAAACTGCTGCTGGCCTGGGCCCATTTGGACACAGGCAGCAGGAGGCCCGAACTTGTGTTCTGGAAGCAAACCTCCCTGTCCAGGGGGCAGATGAGCACTGCTCCTTTCTAACCCAGCTGGGGGACCCTAAAAGGAGGTCCCACTGTTCCAGGGCCATTATCCCACAGCCCTCCCCCTCACTGTCCCTGCAAACAGACACTCATTCACACACTGCCACACACATTCCTGAGGTGAAAAGGGGGACGATCCCATGAGAAGCATTAAGACACAAATCCTTTCCCCGGCAGTGACCTGAAACCTCACAGAATCCACAGCTGAAAGCTGGGGCTCTAACAAGCACCACCCTCCACTTGACAGCACCTCTGCCTTTAGCTCTGCCCCTTCCAGAACACCCTCCTGGCCTCCACCTGCTGCTCCTCCCGCCCCTCCAGCCCCAGACCCCCTGACAAATCCTGGCCCTCCGCTGCCTGCTAGTGGGTTGGTACTGCCTGGCGAGGCCGACTGCAGATGATCAGCCCAGATGTGGCTCAGATGAGCTTTTTCCCTTCCTTGTGCGGATCAGTGTTTTGTCAGAGTCCTGCCCACCCCAGGGCAGTGGACCATCTGAAGAGAGCCCCAATCTGGCTGTAGGAGACCTGTGCCCTGAGAGCTCGGGGCCAGCAAGGTCGGAAGAGAAGGGGCTCTGGGGCCGGACCTCCCAGAAGGGATCCCCGCTTGCTCTCTGCTCACTCGGTGCCCAGAGCATGCCACCACCTCTCGAGGCCTGTCGGCTCTCGGGTTCATGGCAGGCTGACTGGGCATCACCCGCGAGGTGGGGTGAGGACTCAATGAGGCGATCGAGTGCTCTCATGCCGGTCTCCCCCAGCGGGCCCTGCCCTCCACGCACCCTGGAGTCTGCTTGGCCACCCGGCCCGACTTCCCCTCCAGAGGACGCCAGGCAGAAAAACAGGCTGAAAGACCTACCACTTCAGAGCTCTGTTTCCGGCTGTCTGGTGCAGAAGCCAGTCCTCCGACAGCCTGGGGGTCCTCGTAGGCTACCCTGGAGACAAGCAGCACAGTCTGTCAGTTCCTGGCAGTGGTCCCAGGGGACGGGGTGGTGACCTCTAATCACTTTCTAGCCCTCTCACCTCCCTCACGCATACTTGGAGAAACGTTCCCTGCAGCCCTGGCATCAAAGGGCTCATGCATTGTCTGACTGCAGCTAAAGCCAGGAGGCCAGAGTTCCAGCACTGGCTCAGCCCCTCCTTTCCTCTGGGGTCTGGGACACTGTGCCCCTCAATGTCCCTCTCAAGTAACAATACCAGGGCATCTCCAAAGTCCACTGACAGGAGGTCAAAAGCGCCCTGAAACTCCAGGCAACATTAATTCTTATTTCAAAAGCAGCAGCCGCAGTGGCCTTTGACAAGGAAGGTGGTGACAGCTGGTGAAGCGTGAACGGGGCCTTGCGTTGGGTTTCTGGTCAACCTGTTGATGCCTGAGCATGGGAACCCAGAAAGCCAAATGCCTCAAGATGCCGGGCCCCAGGGAAGGGCAGGAAAGAGTTCTTCGCCTGCCTTAAGGTTGAACAAGAAGCTCAAAGCCTGTTCCTGTGCCTCCCTGAGATGCAAGGGGTGGTCTATTTTGGGACCCACATCCCCAATTTCACATGGCTTCTCCTGGCAGGAGCTGCCTTCAGGGAAGCCTCCGCCCACACCCTTGCACAAGAAAACCATGCTGATAAGAGCTACTTCATGCCCTGCCTGGCTGCCCCCCAGCTCCCAGCTCTTCTTCAGCAGCAGCACGGGAAGCACTCTCTTGTGACTCACAGGAGAAATCCAACCACAATCAACCCCAAGGCGGGGAGGTGGGGGTTGGCGGGGGTGGGGAGGTTGGTGTTCATTCAAAATCTGTGTCTACTGCCAAGTCCTCACAGACATATTTCAACGTTCTTGGCAGCCCTGGACTTGGCAAACAAAAGGCGTCTTTGTGTTGGCCTGTGACCAGGCCGGGATCAATCCTCCCCCAATGTCTTCCGAGAGCCACTGAAATGGTCCCCACATACGTCTTGCGTTGTTCAGCCAAGGAGTTCCCTCTCGCCTGGGCAAACATGTCAAAGCCATCACGCGGATTACACTGCTGGAGTGAACTGAGGGTACCACTGACGCTCTCTGTCCCCAAGTCTGTGGCAACAAAACAAATGAGGGGAGGATGAGAGTAAAATGTGGCCCGTGGACTTGAGGAAAGATCCCAAAGTTCAGAAGCCCGTGGGCACGTTAGGGTTCTATGGGGGGAGGTTGGGCAGCTCTCCTCGGCACCCCCAGCCCACCACATACAGGAGGAGTCACACCGGGGCCCAGATGGGGGACAGAACAGCCACAGGGCCCCCCTCCCGAAGCTGCTCAAGGTGGGGAAGAGTCAGTATGAACGAGAGGGAGATTGCTGGCAGCGAGGAGGGGCCTGGGGCCAGTGCCTCTGCAGATTTCCCACAACGCTCTGATCAGTACACTCCTCACTGACTCAGTCACATGTCTGAGCGCCTGGGTCATGTATTTCCTTGATAAACATTTCGCAGGCACCCACCACGTTCAAAGCTAGATCATGAGCGGACCAAACTGAATCTGATGCAGTCCTTGGCCTTAAGGAGCACATGAAGTAGGTGGGAGACAGACACCACCAGTACCTAGCTTGAGATAACTGGAAGAGATTCAAAACTGACCCAAGAATAGGGCTTAAAGGCCCAGGGGGACTCTGCTGCGAGGAGAAGAGGGAGAGGCAGGTACCAAAGCACAGAGCCTGGGAAGTCCAGGGAGTGTGAAGTGAAAAACACTTGTGGAGACGCTGATGAACAAAAAGGCTGGAAAGGTATGTGGGAGGTGGCTGGGGTGTGAAAAGCCTCAAAGGCCAGGTAAAGGAGCCCAGGAGAAGGACACTAGACCTTTTTTTTTTTTTTTAAGATTTTTAAAATTTATTTGAGAGAGAGCAAGAACACGAGCGGAGGGGAGGGGCAGAGGGAGAGGGAGAAGGAGGCTTTCGGCAGAGCCGGGAGCCCGACACAGGGCTTGGTCCCAGGACCCTGGGATCATGACCTGAGCCGAAGACAGATGCTAACTGACTGAGCCACCTGGGCACCCCTCGCTTTTTTTTTTTTTAAGATTGATTTATTTATTCAGAGAGAGGACGTGCAGAGGTGGGGGGAGGGGCAGAGGAAGGAGAAGAGAGAGAATCTTAAGCAGCCTCCACGCCCAGCGCAGAGCCTGACACGGGGCTCAATCTCATGACTCTGAGATCATGACATGAGCCGAAATCAAAAGCCGGATGCTTACCCGACTGCACCACCCAGGCGCCCCAACACTAGACCTTTATTTAAGAAGGCAGGCAGCAGAATTCAATTTGACTTTTGGATATTAAATCTGGTGGCCATATGCTGGATGGACTGAAGGCAGAGAAATCTGTTCCAAAAGAGAAATGGTGGCCACAGATTCATGAGATGCTGGGAAGCCAGAATCACAGCAATGGACAGGCCACTAAATAAAAGCCCGATTTCAACTGTAATGGAATGAAGGTATAGAGATAAATATTAAGGAAAAAAAAAAAAGGAAAACAGAAAACCAAGGTAGAAAGAATTTTGTGAGAGCCGTGCATTATTATTTCAATACTATAATTTTATCTGTTACAAATCGGTGTACCATCTAGAATCATATACACACTTGCAAACGGAAAAGTGGGAAAGTGGTGAGTTTCTTTTGTTTTAGGCTTCAGACAGTGCAGCACTTTAGGCTGATGTTAGTTCAAGGAGAGCAAATCTACCTGTGCCATCACCTCCTGATTCCAAGACCGTGGCAGACATTACCAATCAACCACAGACTCATCTCCCAAGCAGCATCCTTCTTAGACCTGTGTCCCAAGCAGCCAATGAGCTGAAACCTATTTGCCATCCTTGGCCTAGTTTATATTGAGAAGACAATCACTTCGACCACAGAGACTATTGCAGATAAAACACAGCAGCTACCTTTGTTTAAAAGCAAACAACTTCCAGTTTCTTGGAACTCCCCCCACCCCTTCTTTCCAACACAGGTTTAAATTTTTAAGTTTAGGGACAGAAGTCATCAACTAAAGGTGGCACAATTGGCCAGGTCTCAGGAATACACTTTTCCATGGATCCCTCTAAAGGCTCTCCTTGGGCCTTCCAACCAAGAGAGAGAAAGGGGCCCTCAGCCCAGACTCACAACCAGGAAGTGGCCTGAAAAGAAGGCCCTTGACACAAACCTGTGAGACACTTACCTAAGCCTGCAAGCTGAGAGGAGAGAGAAGATGGGGGTGCCGTGTTCCCCACCACTGGGCTCACCACAGCTGGAGACCCCGGGCCCAGGTCTATTAAGTTGTCCTCGGTCACTTCGTTCAGTACCTGCCAGCAGAGAAGACAGCAGTGAGCCCCAGAGCGCCCACCTTGGGCTCCTAGGTAAGAGCCAGCTGGCCCGGTGCAGGGAACCCAAGAAAAAGCATCAACGCTGCACCAATCCAGGAACAAGGCAGTTTTCCTCCCTGGGACTTTGGTGGTCCAAGGTGGCCCCGGCCCATTGGCTCCTCCCCCTGCCCCCAAAGGAGGCAGGGCTGAAGCAGTCACCAGGACAGTCGCTGTCCCTGGAGCTATAACTTGGGGCTTGCTTGCCATGCTCCCACCGGGAATGTGTCTGCTAGTTCTTCTGCAGTATCCCATCAGCCAGAGCTTACTCCTGCATTACCCCCAATTTTTTTTTTGAAGAAAACTCTACCCTCAACATGGGGCTTGAACTCACGACCCCGAGACCAAGAGTCGCACGCTCTACAGACTGTGCCAGCCAGGTGCCCCTCATTACCCATATATTTAGGCCCCAATTAGAAAAACCAGAGGTGAGACCTAACAGAGGTAGGTCTCCCAGCATCCGGAGAGGAGAGAATTCTGAAGGAATACTTACTCCATTACTGGCATTTTGCACTGATCGGCCTGACCTGTATCGTTCAAACCTAATAGGGGAAAGGAAAGCAGAGTGAGGAGGGACGACGCGGTATAGTGATGCTCACTGGTCCTGTGAAGAGCTCCTGGGGACCAAGGGCCCTGTGAGGCCAGTGGACACCGAGACTCCAGGAAAAGGAAACCAATTGGGGCCATTTGGGGGACATGGGAGGTGGGTCCCCCTCTACCCCCCAACTTTACCGTGCCTTCCTCTGGAGGATCAGCCTCCAGGCTCACCCACGAGCACACGAAGGGGGGGAGGAAGGTGTTGTTTGGCACATCCCATCATAAGGAGGTCACTATAAGCATTCCCAGCTGTCCCCTCATGCTCTGGGCCCAGAGGGCTCCTTTTGCTCCTTGGGCGGGGTGGGGCGGGGCCAACAACTTGACCTGGGAGAGGCTCAGATACCGATTTCCGAAGCCAGGCAAGAAGTGCAGCCCCCTCCCTGTTTCATAGAGCTGTGCTAGGCATGATTAGCCTGTCACTAAGATGCCCTCAGCTCAATATGCTGGAGGAGAGGGCCTGGGACACACACAGGGTAGATACCTAGAAGAGGAAGACAGGCACAGGCCCTTGGCCTGGCCCAAAGGCTCCCCAGTAGCTGCGCATGGGACTGGCTAGGAGCAACCACAGACAGCCTCTCCTGTCCCATACCCACCAGGTGGGGAATACAAGAGCAATTGTGAGGCACCTGTGTGGGCTGCCCTTGCATTTAAAAGTTCCAAAACGCTGTGGGCAAAGAGGTAGCTAAGAGACCTTCTGCAGCTAGAGGCTGGAGAAACCAGCCTTTACTGAGATCTGCTCAGCTCAGCGCCTGGTAAGTAGGGATCCCCAGGAGGGACAATCCGGTTAGGCGATCTGTGTCCACTGTGGTTTCAAGAGAGACTTGTGTGTTTTTATGAACCATGGCCCATAAGGAGGAGGAGAATGTTAATACATCTGAAAAGTTTCTAATCCTGGAGTACCTTTCTCACACCATCTTGGAGGGACAATTGGTCTTATCAACAGCACTCAAGCCAGAATGGCACCTCAGGGCTTTGTCTCTGAATTTGTGGTCAGGCCGGTGTGGCAGACTCAGGGGAAAATGCTCACATTAGCCCCTGTCTTCCTATCCCAGGAAGGGCTGAAACGGGTTTGAGGTGAAAAGGCCAAGCCCATTTAAAGTAGAGAAACTAGGGGCGCCTGGGTGGCTCAGTCATTAAGCATCTGCCTTCGGCTCAGGTCATGATCCCAGGGTCCTGGGATCGAGTCCCGCATCGGGCTCTCTGCTCCTTGGGAGCCTGCTTCTCCCTCTGCCTCTCTCTCTCTCTCTCATGAATAAATAAATGGAATCTTTAAAAAAAAAAACAAAAACAAAAAAATAAAGTAGAGAAACTAGAACCACAAGGCAAAACCAAGGGGTCTCGAGCTGGGAGTCGAGGCACCCCAGATCTGCTTCTAATCTCCAAAGGACACACGGGGCCCCTGGGTGGCCCCACATTCTTAGTGCAGAGGTTTCTTTGTCTATCGGATAGACCCAGGACCACCCATCCCTACTAAGACAAGGCCCGGGGTCGTGATACCCACGGCAAAATCTCCCTCTAAGCCCCCTGTCACACTGATCCTAAATGATGCCAGATCATCACACTGTGAGTCAGTGCAGGGACCAGGGCCCCAAGTCTCCGAGGGTGGAAGGCCTCAGACTTGGGAGAAGGTTGGCCTGGTCAAGGTGCTTTCTGGTGCCTTTGCTGGGAGAAGCCTGAGCCACACATGCCCGAATGATGCTCTGGGAACCGTGCCTGCCATTACCTCCTATTGGCAACTCCTTCCCCAGGGGAGGCTTTGGAAAAGGAAAAGAACTTTCAAGCTGGTTACCTCGAATCCAAAAATGATTTGGCTGCAGAAAGAACTCAAATGAATGTGTGTGTGTGTGTGTGTGTGTGTGTTTCCCTAAACAGCAGCAGCATCCGGCACTTACACCCTGCCTTCTTTGGAATACTCTAGACACACTGACATTTGCAAAGCGAGGGAAAAATCTTTTTCTTTCTTTAAAGATGGCAAAGAGGAAATCTTTTTTCCTTAGTAGAGATTTTTTCCCCCCTTTAATCCTTTTCAAACTCAAAGGATCTTCAAAGGAGCAGGTGCAAGCTCCCGGGCCCCAAGGCCTCGGCCCTCCCCTCATGGGCCCCGGGGGGGCGGATAGTGGGGAAGGCAGGGCAGCCTGAGGCTTGCAAAGGGCAGAGCCTAATTCTGCCCGTCACTTTCCTGCTGCTCCGTTCCCAGGAGAACAAGAAGCATTTTCCCTGTCAGCCGGGAACAAATTAGCATCTCTGATGAGCATTTTCCAACCCTACACTCCCTCTCCCTCTCCACATTGTTTGGGAGAGAAATCCCTCCGTTGGCAACAGTCTCTGGGAGGGATGACAAGGACTCCGGCCCCACCTCTCGTAGCGGAGGAAGACGTTGTTGAGGTCATCGTTGACGTGAAGCAGCTCCTCGGTGACCTCCTCGTTGGACACGCGGGAGATGAGCTCCACGATGCGCTGTTGCATGGCCCGGCAGGTCCTGTTCAGCTCCTAGGGAACACACACGCCTCTGGCTAGCCTGCTGGGGACGATGCGTGTCCCATTGTACCTCCTCGGGCAAAATGTGAGTCAATTCTTAAAAGTCACCAAAGGAGTGCACGCTTGTCCGAGAAAGCCGGCCACGGGTGGGATGCAAAGTGGAGGGCCCCTCTCTATCTCCTGCTGCCCCAGAAGAAGGAAGCTCTTTTTCAATGGACAGACAAGGGTCCATAGCTCTGTACTCTTGTATGTACATCGGCACGTGTTTGTACAGAGCGTCCTTTACGTCTAAGAATGTGATCCTTTGCAGCTTGCTTTTTCTCTTCAACAAAATACTCTCGACAACCTCTCCCCGTCGCTTTCATACGGCCGGCCCCACCTGTGTGTGTGTGTATCATGAAGCATCTCCCCGTGCTTCCACTGCCTTAAGGCCTCTTTCTGGCCAACCCAAACAGTGTAGCAAGGACCATTCGTACACACACAGGCTCCTACATTTGTGCCAGTACTTCCATAGGACAAGCTTCTAGAAGTGGAATTTCTGGGTGAAAGGGTATACAGTCACTTAGAATACGGACTGGTAATTGCAGAAGACCCTCCAAAAAGATGAGACCAGGTCATTTACGCTCCCAGCAACAGCAGGAGTGTATTTTATGACTGTATTAGGTACATTTCGGTAGCACGTGTGGTATCTCGCTGAGGTCTGAGAAGCTCAGCAAGCTCTTGACATGTCTTCCAGGCTGGCCAAAGAGGACTCCAATGAACCCCCAGTCACCACTGGAGCCCGCTCTACCCTTGGAAGGACAGTCCCCCTGAAGACAGACCCTTACCACTTTCTGGCCTGGCTTCCACAGGCTTTCCCTGCCCTACACTGCGCCACACACAGGGAAAAGGCCCAGTAATCATCTGCTGAGTCGAACACAGACGTGGCCAAACATAAAGCAGGGAATCCCAGGGCTCAGCAGTGCCCTGCAACACTGCGCTCAGCACACAGGGGCCTTACTGCTGGGCCCCTTATCTGCCTCCTCTCTCTATACCGAAGCTCCTTGAGGGCAGGGCTGGCATCTCTTGGCCCCATTTCTCCAGCATCCATGACCAACACACAGGAGCTACTCCCTAAATGCTTTGGAGAGAATTAATTAATGAAGGCAAGTTGCATTCCTTCCATCCACACCTAGTCCAAGGTCTCTAAATAGTGTTCCCTTACACACTCGTGTGCACACACACACCCCCTTCACCACTGGACGACAATGAGTGTCCTGGGCCTGATCCTGCGGGACAGACCTGCCAATCACAGAATAAGCAGATCATGACCAGCCGGCCACCAGGTCTGGAAACTGCTTCTGCGTCACCCCTCCCCTGGCTGCTCAGCCTGTGGGGGCTCCTTCCCCAAGAGCAGGGGCAGCTGAGAAAAGAGGCCCAACCCACATGGGTCATCCCACAATCACCCCACTATAGCTGTAGTTGTCAAGACAGAAGGTTTCTAGATTTAGGCAGCTGGGTACAAAATAGTCTGGTGTTCACCGGAAGAAAAAAAAAAAAAAGCTTCACTGGAGAGCCTCTGGATTGCTGGGCCCCGTCTGGCTGGTTATGGAAACACTGCCTATGTCTTCGTTCTACCCTGTTGCTGGCCCTCTGTACAACCAGAATGCTGCTGTCAGTCTCTCTTGGTCATAGGGCCAGCAAGCCCAGCATCTGACCTTCCAGTTTTTTCTATGAAGACAGTCCCACTCTTGGTTCTCCTAAGACTCCCATTCTAGGTTTGGGAGAAGGCAGAGTGATCCTGGAACTAAGGGGCTGTCAGCAAATCACCGGGGATTCACAACTCCTCTCTCCCAACCCCTGACCTGGTGCTTCAGGGACCAGCTGCGCCCGGGGAGTAGCATTCCCACCAGCAGGTGATGCAGAGGGGTGGAGGTCAGAAGCAAGCTGAGGCTGGAGGAGGAAGGATGGGGACACCTCAACTCTATGGCACTGTGATCCCTTGGTCTGTGCAGACCACCTGCTCCCCATCACCGTCCTCACTCAGGATCTACACCAGCTTAGCCTTCTTGCTGGCCCTCTCTCCACTCAGAGGAATGGGCAATTCTCCTTCACCTAGAATTGAATCTTCCCTCTCCAGGATTCGTCCCAGACCCCAGTGACCCAGCAGTAAGCATTTTTAAATATACATGCATGTGTTAGAGTAACAAGAGGCAAATACTGAAAATTAATCGCACAGGACATCATATCCAGGAAAGAGTGAAATGCCACAAAATGTCCACTCTCCACCACTGTGAACGGCTCCTAGATCCCCTGGCCAGCCATAAGAGGGGCATTCGGGAAGCGGCCTGGGACTTGGAGCCTGGCCGAAACTCAGTGATGGGTTGCCACAATCCCAGCCATGGGTGCTGGTACACACCCACAGGTCAAATCCAGTCACTGCTGGGACAGTCGCAGTACACAGGAAAGCCAAGGGCCCAGCGGAAACCCTAATTACAGAAACAAAGTGCGCTCACGAGCGAGGGCTAAGACGAATACCGAAAAACAAAACAAAAGCCCACACAAATCAACTTCTGAAAAAAGCAATCACATTAGATCACGAGAAGGATTCCAACAGCCAGGACTGAAGTCAACAACGTAAATAATTGTATTTATGATATATCGTTAGAGTGCAGGGAGCACCCGCTTAGGGCCCATAAGGGAGCATGGATTCAGATTCACTTTAAAAGACCAGCCCCCATTAACCAAAAGAAAAAAGACATTCTTGGGCAGCAGATCTTGCCTAGCGCTTTGGAAGACATGCTGGAGACCAGCCAAAGCTCGTGGGGACAGAAAAGAGGGAAAGACAGAGCCTGGGGACACAGGCGGCAGGGTGGCGGACAGAGGGAAGAGGCGCAGTGCCTGGATCCCTTCCTGGATGTGTATGTGCCTCGTAGAGAAGAGACCAGTACTCAAGATGTCCGCAAAAAAATCTCTGATGAGCAAAAGGATCTTGAGCCCCAGCTACAGGCCCACTCCCTCCAGCAAAGGCAGCCCTCACTCCCACCCCCAGGCAGGCCCAGGACAGGGAAGAGGTCAGTGACTTCCTATCCTAACTGCAGGCCAATTCCAAACGGAAAGAGGTCCTAGGCCACCCTGGCAGAAGCTGGCGGCATCACCTCCCAGAAGCACAGGACTTCTCCAAACACACGTCAGACTTTCTAGAATAGCAGACGGCCGGCCTCCGGCACTAGCCCTCACTGCTCAGGGGCCCCTGAGAAGGCAGCCCTCTGCTTGCCATGTTCCTCTCCTCCTTTTCCATCAAACAAATTCCTACTCATCCTTCAAGGCCCCAGAATGTTTCCCCACCCCAACGCTTAGTCACAAAATTTTCAATGTAGAGAAAAGATTTTAAAGTGTTATAGTAGACCCCATATACCCAACCCCTAGATTCTACCTGCCATTAACATTTTACAATTCCAGCTTACCATTTGTCTACCCAGCTACCCATCTCCCTATCCGCCCAGAATGTTTCCTGGGGATTCCCCCCAACCCCTACCTCCTCAAGACTGGACATACCTCTGCTTGGCGCTGCTGCCCCATGTGGTGACAGGTCCTCCAGCAGTGCCTCTGGGTCCTGTGTATCTCCAATAAATGAGCAAGAGCCCTTACCCCCACCCCAATCAGTGGAAGCCTGGGAAGAAAGAGCAGGCCTCAAGGATGGTCCACCAGAGTCAAAGGAGAACCAAACCAGATCATTCAAAAGACTGCAGAGAGTGTCTCAGAAACATGGCTCCAAACATCCAAAGCACCCGAACCACTAGACAGAAAAGGGCAGGGTTGGATTCAGTCTCCCCCAGTGGAGCCCAGGGCCTCCTGGGTGCTGGGAACCAAGTGGCAGGTAGCAAGCAGCCATGTCCAGGTCCGCTCTCCAGGCCTCCAGCACCCTCTGGGCCTGTTTCTCCCCGGGTAGGAAAGGGGGTTGGAGAAGTGGTAAAACTCTGCAGAGGGCCACTGAGGGGCCTCCATGGCATGGGGTTTGGGACATCCCACCCCATGGCTCTGCTTTTATCTCTTTGAAACATTACAGTTCTCTGTGGAATTTTATTTGTGGAGAAAAGGGTCCCCCTACTTTACAGAAATGTTTGGAAAGTGCTAGATGATTTCTGAGACCTCTGCTAGCTCTAACATTATGACTTCAGCTTGCAGGAACAATGAGACCCAAGGGCACACAATGTGGTGATCTCATGGACTGTAAGCCCCAGAACATCTGCTTTGCCCTTTGTACTTGCCTCCTCGTTCCCCACAGCCTTCAGCTGGGGCGCCGGGAGAGACAGCCCCTGACCCCATGGACAGAGCCTCGAATGCTCTGATCCCAGAGGGGCACCCAGGAGCCTTTCAAAGAGCTTTCATAAACTGGACCAAAGAATCTGGCCCGGAGCTTCCAAATCAAGGATGTCCTGGGGTCTCTGCAGAAAGTTTTATTATCTCCTTCCTTCAAGCTTTTAAGTTACCATCTTCTTCTTCATCTTCTTTTTTTTAAGATTTTATTTTAAATAATCTCTACACCCAACATGGGGCTTGAATTTACAACCCCAAGATCAAGAGTCACACCCTCCATTGAATGAGCCAGCCAGGCGCCCCTATGTCATCATCTTAAAAAAAAAAAAAAAAAATTTAAACAGTGAGAAAAAAGACAAAGGGATCGAAGGGGGGAGGAGAAGCAGCGTGTTGAGATTTCTGCCACCAAACACCAGCTGGCCGCCTGCAAGACCTCCTTGGGGTCACCGGCAGCCAGACTCATGGCAGATGCAGTTGGGAGACCTTCCACTGCCTATGTCCCCCTCTAAAGCAGCCACACAGCCTGACTTTCTTCTTTCTTCTGATCCTAAGTCACAAGAGCGTGCAGTTTGCCCCGGTCGTCCTTCCCACCATGCAACAGCCAGGACAGGCATGTCCTACACGAGGAAGATTTCGGCTTCGGCCTCCTCCTATATCCGGTTCTCAACAGAGGGGGTGCACAGCTGGTCAGTGTTCTTTGTGCAAAAGCCCTCCATCTATCAGAACATATTAAAATAGCCTCTTTCTGTCTAATTAATCCCAATGCCTTTATCTTTTCTTCAAGGGACATTCTCATCCCCACCTCGCAAAACAGTCTTTTAATCATCTTTATGGGTTTCCTCTGAACCTTCTCCAAGTTCTAAGGAACACAGAATAAGGTCCTGAGGATCCGCTTTCTATAGCGGCAAAGGGGGGGCGGGGAGAAGAAGAAGAAACTCTTTGTTGAAGAGAAGGGGGAATAATGAAGCTAAACGTGGAGAATAAACTAGATCTCTCTAGAGAAAATGGTCCTGGACATCCCGGTTTTTGTTGAAACGAGATGCGAGCAGCAAGAGGGGATATACCATCTGCTACTTGAAGAAACAATGTGGAAGAGAGCTTCTTTTACTACCTGATGGATGGCCATGCAGGAATGCCCAATTTGGGCATCACTGGATTAATTAAAAGTTATTATTACTTGAAGACAAAGCTCAAGAGGCTAATTTGGGAGAGACGGAGAGTACCGGATGACAGCCTCAGAATCTTTAAAGATTTCCAAAACCGGACTCCCAGGCGGCAGCTAAGGACGTGAACTTCAGGAGATGGCGATGCAGTCTCAAATATCAGGCCTGAACCCAAGTGCCCACACATAGGGTAGGGAAGATACGGCTTACCAGCTCTGTGAGAGAGATGGAAGATTTTAGGTTGATGGAAGCTCTCAATTTTATAGGCTCCTGCTGAGAACTGCCAGCTCATCTACAAGGTGGGCTGCCAATAGGCACATCTGTACCGCACAGGCCGGGCTGTGGCAGGGCTCATGGCAGTCTTCAAATATTTAAGGACCTACATTGTGAAAGAGGACTTTGTTTTGTCCTGTGGTTAAAGCAGACAGACCAGGGTAGCAGTTGTAAGGAGACAGACTTTAGCCTGCCGTAGAGAAGGATGTACTAACAATAATCACAGGAGCTCTGACTTATGATGAGTTCCCTGTGCCTGGCACTGTGCCGGCCACCTCAAATGGACAATTTTTGAAAGATTTTATTTATTTGGGGGGCGGAGAGCAAGAGCAGGGGGAGGGGCGGAGGGAGAGGGAGAGAGGGAATTTCAAGCAGACTCCGAGCTGAGTGTGGGGGCCCGATGCGGGGCTCTATCTCATGAACCTGTGTCGAAATCAAGAGCTGGATGCTAGGCACACCTGGGTAGCTCAGTTGGTTAGGCGGCTACCTTTTGGCTCAGGTCATGATCTCAGTGTCCTGGGATCGAGCCCCACATCAGGCTCCCTGCTCAGCAGGGAGTCTGCTTCTCCCTCTCCCTCTGTGCTCTCTTGCTCTCAGTCTCTCAAGTAAATAAATAAAATCTTAAAAAAAAAGAGTTGGACACTTAACTGACTGGACCACGCAGGCACCCCTCAAATGGACGATTTCTATCCTTCCAAGATGAGCGTGATCACTCCAGGCTCTACCCAGTATCGTCCAGCCTGTCAGTGGTTGGGACGTGAACCCAGTGGTTCTTTCTGCCCTCCTGTGGTGCTTCCCAAAGTCTGACCAGGACGTGCATTTGGAAACAGAAGTGTTTCCGTGGGCTCCCACAAACAGCCTGTCTCGTCAAGAAAAGGCTAAGAAAAATGAGGTGGGCACTAATCTGAACACATGGGTGGAGCTGGGACTAGTTGCCTAGAAGGTCTGTCCCAGCTCAGGGGGTGGAGGGGTCCGCCCCGGCACAGTGTTCCCTCTGGGCACCCTGCCTCAGTTTTCCTCAGGGTCTCTAGCTAAGCTGCCGGCACAGCATAAGAAGAGGCCTCAGTCTCCCTTCAGGGAGACAGGAAGCAATTCGGGACATTACCGCCCATGACTGCCGTCCGCCGCACCAGTGCATCCCGGGGCTGACACCTCCAATTTCCTCTCTTTGCATTTCCTCTGCCTCCTACCCAGCAATTTACACTCGAGTCGGGAGCAGCTTCTGTTGGCGTGAACATTTGGGTTGGTGACAAATGGGTTTATTTCCACGGCCCCGGCCAGCACTGTGAGCTCTGGACAGCTTCTACCCTGAGCAATCTGGCTGCCCTCCAGCTCAACTGAGGGGTCCTCAGGGCACATTCTGATCCCATCACTTCCCAAGCAGCTGGTGTCATTTTCCCATGTGGGAAATGGGCTGTTTGGGGTGGCCCCAGCCCTTGGGAGCCCCTGCCCAGCCGGCCTCCAACTGCCCAGGGAAGAAGAGGAGGGGAGATGTCAGGGATGACTGAGGAGCGAGGCCAGGAGCCAGGAGAGTGTGGCTGTTCACACAGAGCTGCCTGACTCCTGAATCTCCCGTGCTGAAAGGCCAGCTTCCCACTGGCACCCAGAACCATTCTTTCTCTGTTTGATTTATAAGATAGCAGGGAGGGCTGGTAGGCTTGGAGTTGGAACAAAACAGAGGGAAGGAAAACGTCATGGGAAGCAACCTATTTTTGAAAACTGTGAGCTGACGCCAGGAGATTAGGTTCTGTTTGTCTTGGCTGATGGGCTTGTTTAAACACACACACACACACACACACACGCACGCGCACACATGCACATGCACACGCACAAAGTATGCTTGCTGTCTGGGTCTGCTCTGGCTGTCTGGAAGCATGTTGGCTTTGTTCAGCCCACCCCCTGCTGCCAGGAGCTCAACTCTGTCCACTGCAAACCCCCTGTCAGCAGGAATTCTGATGCTGACACAGCACAAAGCTGCCTCAAGAGGCCCTCGCAGTTTCTGGACGGTTTCTGGACTGATCTCAGATTCCTCTGTAGCAGCTAATGCCTGGAAGAACTCCCCCTACAGGCTGGGAATGGAGGTCAATGGTGCATTAACGGGACACTGGGTCCCCTAGCGTGTGGCACATGGACAGCTGGCCCCTGCTGAACGAAGGCAAACCTACCCGGGCTGCAGGTGTCAGGAGCGAGGTCTGGGAGAGGCCACTCGGGGCTCCTCGTTAGGGCTGGGTGAGGGTACTCGGCTCGGCTTTAAGAGCAACCTGATATCACGGCTTCATGGAGATGACCTGTTTCTGGTCGGCCTCCCTGCACCAGGCTGGGCGCTCCTCCAGAGCACAGACCACGCTCCACACACCTCTGCTTTGCTCTGCGTCCGGCCCAGAGCAGGTATGCACCCACCCTCAGTTGCTTGGGAGCTGACGGCTTCAGGGGAGGAAGAGGGCACGACAAGAAGCGGCCCGGGAGCAGGCAGTCACTTTGGCTCGGGGCACTGCGGACTGGCGGGGCCACCCGAGCCGGGCCTTCAGACACTGCGAGTGTGTGCCAACAGCGGGGTGGGAGGGATGGCACTCGGAGGGGGGAGCAAGACTGACGACTCTGAGCGCCAGACAAGAAGATCTGGCACTTGCAGCTTAGAGCATCCTTTCTCCCCACCTCCAGAAGGTCACTGCTTATGAGGGCAGCACAGATGCCACTTGGTACAAATGCCAGAGTCGTCGGAGACGGGTGTGGCGGAGAGCTGGCTGCTGGCTCTGGCTGGCCAGGATCCCTGACGCTAGTCTGAGGGCGGCCCCGGGTGCCAGCCCTGCTCCCGGACCCCTTTCTGCCGTGCCCCCCGATCTGCAGGGCGGCTAAGGGAGCGTGGAGGCCAGTTAGCAACAGATGCTCACAAACCATCAGGTGGCCAACCCCAGCCTGGAATCCTCAGTGTTCAGGAAAAGAAAGGAAGCTTCTACCTCATCTCAGTCTCAGGACTGGCTCAGGGGGCAAAGTGTGGCTAGAAGGGCTCCTGCGTGCGGGGAAGGTTGAAGAGGGCCTGTCACAAGTGTTCATGACATAATGTTGAGGAAGCAAAGCGACACACAACATTGTACACACAATAGGATCTCAATTACATCTGAAATGAAAACAAACACGGAAAAAAAGTCTGGAAAAAAAAAGCATCAGAACATCGACAGTGGTTATTTGTGGGTGCTGGAATCAAAGAAAATGAGTATTTTCTTCTTTATACTTCCTTTTTTCTTTTGATGGGCATGCGTTCTGTAATCGGCATTTTATAATCAGGAAAAAAAAAGTCACTAAGGAAAATAAGAGAGCCTGGTACTGGCTTCTGATCGGTCCCAGGAAGCATGAGGCTGGGGAAAAGCCTACAGGGACTCAGTCCCTTCCCACAACAGTCCCCCTGGGCCCCGATCCTGCCTCACTGCTGGATGCCCAGGGCCAGAGCTTCCACAAGATGAGGCCCTCCCTGCTCTCACCTGCAGCAATTCCAGATCGGACGAATCCTCCTGCCCGGGGACCATTTCTGTTAGCATCTCCGACATGACTTTTGTGTTGCCTCGAACAACATCCAGTTCACTCCGAAGCCTGGCAATCTGTTGGGCCAGGGGGGTGGGAGTAGGGAGGAAAGCAGGAAGCAGAGGTCAGTCAAGCTGCACCTGTCCAGTGACAGTCCCCTTCACCATGACATCTAGGTCACACCTCTGAATGTGCTCAGCATTCGAAGGCTTCTTGTCTCACTCTGGTCTGTGCGTGAGGGTGAGGGAGAGACCTGAATGGGGCCGCGAGGCCACCCCACAAGGGCCCTGATTACCGAGAGTTTGTCATGGGTGACTGCCGGGAAAGAGCGCTGCGTCTGGTGCGGACGGAGCTGGTGTGCAGCTCAGCCCTCCCACCGCAGAAGCCTGAGTGGGAAGTTCATCTCTCAGGCCTCCGTCCCTACTCTTTCAAGTGAAAGTGGTAGAGCATGTGACTGATCCCCAAGGGCCCTCATCGTTATAGATGCTGGCCCCAGGGGTTTACAATCGAAGCATTCTGGTCCTCCGAGGGGCTGGCCGGTTCAGCTGCACTTTTCTGGTGTGGCAAGAATGAGGGAAAGGGACCAAGAGAAGACTCGGGGGGAGACCCCCTCCCGCCCCGGCTCCCTACCTGCCCATCCAACAGAGCTCCCCAAAGCCTGAGCCATCTTTCCTCCAGTAGGGACACCATAAGGGACAGACCTGAACCTGTCTGAGCCTCAGTCTCCTCACCTACGGAGAGGGGAAAACACTGCCCACGCCTCAGAGCTGCTACGAATGACTGAAGTGAAGACCCAGTGCAGGGCTGGTACCCATGCGCCCAGTACCGACCCAATCCCTTTCCTACTACGATAACCAGAACGCTGGATTTTGCTACGGCTCTCAACTGCAATTTGACCTAGCTCAAATGACACCTTCTGTCCTCCCTGAAGCCTTTACTGACTCTCCCCTGCCCCTCTCCCTGAGGCAGAACCAGCCAGCCCCCCTCCTACAGCAGGCCCCGCTCTGCCCCCCACCCCATTGCTGATCTCCTGGGGGCAGGGACTCTGCTGAGTGGAGGTCAGTACTCTCAGCACAGGAAAAGGGACGGGGGCCTCAATAAATGTGTACTGGATGGACAGATGGACAATGGTCAATGAGGACACTGGCCTAGGTCCCAAGAGGCTCTTCTCCCCTCTGGTTCTGCCTGGTGGGTGAACTCCTCCGGAGTCTTAGCCACAACAGGTTTCTGGCCCTGGAAGCTCAGGAATGCAACAGACACCACATGGGCTCAGAAGCCCTTGGGGTCCCTCTAGGCCAGGCTGGGTTCCTGCCGGCTCTGCGTCCATTTTCCCCCAGGGGCAGGACCCATGCCTTCTCGCCCATTCTAGACCCTCCTCCAGACTGTCCTGGCTGCAATGGGAAGGCTCTTCCCAAACTCCCACGGAACTGACAAGGAGTCAGTGGAAGGTCTCAGTGGGACCATCCAACTCCAAACATGTCAGACTCCCCTTTGAGCAGTAAGTGGCCCAGTTCTGCCGCTGGAAGCAGAGCCCACAGCTGCTGGAGACTTTCTGCCCCAGGGGCTTGAGTGATGACCACAAGGCCTCTCCAGCTGCCTGCCAAGTCCACGATGGCTCCATGGGGTCGGAGGACGGACTACCACCCTGTTCTACTGGCCCAGCTGGGTTAAATGACCTGACTGAAGCCACACAGTGAGTGGCGGAGTGGGGACTCAAGGCCAGGCCCGTCTGACCTCTGGCTCTCCTCCTCCCGCTCACCTCCTCAGGGCCAGCAGAGAACAGAAACGTGAGTGGCCCTGGCACGACGTTTCGGTTAACCACACCTCATCGCTTGACCCCTCTGTTTAAATGAGTTTCCATAATAATGACGCTGTCACAAATATTAAATAAGGACTTAAAAAATATAAACACTGGAAGAGGGTTTTGGGGTTTTTTTCCCCCCAAGTCTGATCAATTCTCAAATTTTAACTAATGGACATTTTAGAGATTCATCTAAGTACTATTTTCTGCGACTCATCTAAAAAAACTCCAGTTTGGGGTTAAAACGGCATTGGCCTCTCAGGAAATAACTCAGGGAAGGTGGGCAGTGTTTGGAATAAAGGCAGGAAGGGCGCTTCCTATGGGACTCCCTCATGCTGGCCTCCGCCTCCACGGGACCTCGCTGATCGCGTCCCCAGCCTCTGATGGCTGACGCTTCTTACAAGATCAATCCAAACCTCTGTGTGTGACTCACAAGGCTGTTCACGACGCAACTCGGTCGCTGTGCTTTGGCTCCCCCTCTGCCTCTCGGATCCTGCACCAATCCTCCAAAGCTTCCAGCGGCTGTTCCCGTGAATGCCCCGCTCCTCCGTGCCTCCCGGCCCCACACCTTGTCCGATGAAGCCCCCCTCCAGCTTCAAGAGCCTCAGCAGCATCAGCTCCCGGGGTGACCCTCCAGGCAGCGCTCAACTCTGGGCTCAACTCCTGGTTCCCGCTCCCACAACCACGCCACCACCCTGTCCGCCGGACGGTCTTTGCCCCTGTCTCCCCGCTACACGGTGAGCCCTCGGGAGAGGGCCTGGGCCCTTCCGTCTGTGGGCCGCCGCCACCTAGCACAGCGCCTGGTCAGGGAAGGCGTCTGTATGTGTCCCAAAAGGGTGAACGAGGCCAGGCGGCCACCTTGCCTATGGCCCAGAAGTCTGCGAGTACCTGTTCTGAATTGGCCGTGATGGGGCCCGTCACACTCAGGGCCGGGGCCTGCGGAGCGGAGTAGGGAACAGGAGGAGGCGAGGAATAGGAGCTGGTACTCGTCCTCTGCTGCGACTGGGACCTGGGCATGGTTGCGGCTGGATCCACTTCGGGGACGCTCTGGCACAGCAACAACAAAGTCCTTGGTTCACCTGGGCTGCCTGTGTGGCCGGGCCTGGCACCTACCCCACCCCAGGGTGGCCCTTCCCGCCACAGCAGCTGGCAGGCAGGCAGGGGGCCCAGCTTTACTGCTGACTCTGAGGCTGGAGGAATCCCTCTGCCCCCTCCGCACCCAGGTTCTCCATCCACGCAGGGGGCTACCAACAGCTCCTCGCCGACACCAGAGCCGCTCAGGAAGGCAGCACTGAGGGCGCTCTGTGAGAGCTTTGGTCAGGGTTCCCATTATTAGGACCACCTCAGAAACTGAGTGGAGGGCGCCTGCTACGAAGTTTTGCTAATCACGGATCCCTATTTGGTACCAGAAAATGATGTTTTGGCCTTTACGAGGAGACTAATATAAATAGTAATTATGCAATTTACTGAATGTTCTTTGTAATTATAGGCACAACAACATGGTTCTTTGTCACTATTAGAAGAATAAAACAGGTTACGTTTATTCCACAAAGCATAGTAGTGGTTTGGAGGGATCATAATGAGAATAACGCTTTGCAAAGTATAATTTCTTTTTTTTTTTTTAAAGATTTTATTTATTTATTAGAGAGCGAGCAAGAGAGAAACAACATGAGAAGGGAGAGGGTCAGAGGGAGAGAAGCAGGCTCCCCGCTGAGCCAGGAGCCCGATGTGGGACTCGATCCCAGGACTCCGGGATCATGACCTGAGCCGAAGGCAGTCGCTTAACCAACTGAGCCACCCAGGTGCCCGCAAAGTATAATTTCTTATGCTTTCCCTTTGAGCATCTCAAATAGCCTCCTGAACATTAACTGTGATCCATGCAAAAGACCTGTACAGACGCTCTGGACTTCCTGACCCCATTTCAGAGATGGGCAGATGGGGGGCCAGCAAGGCAGAGTGTGCTGGGACAAGGTGCCTCTCCCAGATCCTGGAGCTGCCTGGCTCTCCCCCGGGACCAGGGGCTGATCCCCAGCCAGTAGAGGTACCAGCTTCCTGGGATGAACGGCGTCCTTTCAGACGCAGAGAGCTGCGCCACGTTGTAAGAGCTTCCATGGCAGGCCCCTAAACGGGCCAACCCTGGGCTTTGAATCCCAAGGCTGGTGGAATTCAAGGGTGTCTGGATGGATGCTGAACAGCTGTAGCTCAAAATCAAATTTCAATCTATTTGAACTGTACAGTCTGAAAAAACCAAAAGCCGCCCTTTGCCCCACGATCAGTGACGTCATCAGCTCCCCGACATTGCCAACACTGAGGTGCCTCAGTGTTCTCCCAGGGAGATGCCAGTATCCCCACACCAGATTCCCGGGGCCTCTGAAAAGTAGGTGTTAGTGGCCCTCACGGGAGGGATGGCTCCGCCCAAGCAGCCATTTCCACGAAAATGTCGGAACTGATCCCTCTATTATATCCTTTCACAGTCAGATGAAAATGTGGTGGGGGGGAAGATCACTGCTGCCACTGAATCACCAGTCAACCAGCTGTCTCACTCCTGCTTTCTCCTTGTTATTAAAAAGAAATGCCCTCAAGCTCTAAGAAAGCGTGATGACAAGCTGAATAATTCAAAGGCAGCAACAGAAGGGTGGTGGCAGTGGCTGGCCCGTTCTGCAATAGGTCTTTCTAGAAAATGCCAGCTGGAAGCTTACCCGCTGTGGTGTGTGGATGGGAGACAGAGCGTCCAAGTCTGCCATGGGAAATTCGACCCCCTTCCTCTTCAGTTCCTCGTATATATGCACCACGCCAGTGAGGTCAGGGCTGCTTCGAAAGGCATCCGCCCACGCCTGGGGGGAAAGAGAGGGCCTGTTAGGAAGCATTTCTCACCGAAGGCAGCCCAGGTGCCCTTGCAGAGGCGTATGCTCTCTGGCCAAACCCACTCTGTTCCTGTCCCCCCACCACCCCCAGGGCTGCCACGATGTGACGGGTGAAATGGGTGTTTTTAACGGTGCTGTTGAGCAGGAACAAAAACACAAAACTTAATTCAGCATGTAGTACTTCCTTGGAGAAGATGCAGAGAAATAACACCTAGGCACTGTGGCGCATCCTAAAACGCAGGCATTTCCCTCATCGCCAGGAAATCAATCCTGGTGGCACTCAGCCGAGGGGCGTGAAGACGTGGGCCCTGCTGCCATGCCCGCAGGACACCGCAGGGACCGCAGCGCCACTCGGCTCTGTAGAGCTCTCGGGGGCGGAGGCAGGAGCCGTAGGCAAACTGAGCAGAAAGGAAAGGCGAAACTGATGTGTGACAGGAAATAAAGGCTAAAGTGGGTTCCTCAGTGGATCGGAGCGCTCGAAAGCGGAGACCGCCTAGCCCAGCCAGAGAGGCGACATGACGGTGGCCCAGGGGCGGGAGAGCCCGAGCCGCCCACAGTCTCAATGCACACCTGCCCACATGGCAAACGCCACCACAAAGCACACCCACTAGAGTGCCTTCGATGAAAACACCCCACACAGAGTTTGAAAAGAACACATATTTCAATAGACTCACTTTGCATTGATTCGTGAAACTCAATAAAATTTTTTAGATATTTTGTTCTTGGGACGCCTGGGTGGCTCAGTCAGTTAAGCATCTGCCTTCAGCTCAGGTCTTGATCCCGGAGTCCTGGGATCGAGTCCTGCATGGGGCTCCCTGCTCAGTGGGGAGCCTGCTTCTCCCTCGGCCTGCCGCTCCCCCTGCTTGTGCTCTCACTCTCTCAGGAAATAAATAAATATTAAAAAAAAAAAAAGAAATAAAATATTTTGTTCTTTGGAAGTTACGAAAGAAAGAGAAAGGAAAGGAAAGAATAGAATCTCCAAAGGGCTCCCCCGCCAAATGAAGCTCAGCTCTTCAGCACCGCCCTGTCCTGTCACCACATACATATCCAGAGGAGGAGGCACAGTCTCGCGCCCACGGTTCTGTTGCCAATTCTGCTGTTGTCACAAGACTTTAAGTGCCTCCCTGGCTCTAGCAATGCGTTCCAACCAATCCTGAGGCAGCCACGGAAACTCTATCTCTAACCAACAGACCCATTTGAAGTTAAAAGGTCAGTTTCCAAAAAGCCTCGCTCATTCCGACTGATGGGTCTCACCACAAACATTACTGTCAGCCGGCCTTCCTTGATCCACTTATTTGGTCTGCACACTCGGGGATTTAGTGCCCGCTGGAGGACGGCCCCTCTTGGCCAACACTTCCTTCTGGAGGCTGAGTAGGGCCCAAGGTGCCTGCGGAGGCCTGTCTGGAGCGCCAGCTGGACAGCCGTAGCACCGAGGCCTGCCCCCCTAGGGGGTGCCCCAGAGCCCTGTTCTCCACCAGCTGCTTTGGCTGCCACCACTGGACTCAAAATCCAGCTGAGTCCCAGGAGGCTAGCTTCAAAATGCAGCTAGCATGTTCGTTTAAGGTCTAAGACCAGGTTTACAGCCTGCTGTGGGAGGCTGGGGAGAAAAAAGCATGACCGTTCATCCTGGTGCCGCTTCCTGCCTCTATTTCTATGGGAGGACAAACCGCTCCAGGGGACCACTTTTCATTTATCTTGCTCTCCATCTCAGCCAGATCAGAGATAGGAAGAATGGAAATTAAAGAACCATCACTGTGCTCTCCAGGCAGTGGAGACTTCTCGGGGCACCTGCCCCGACAGCGAGCCAACAGGCCCCCCTTCTCTGGGACTGTGTCTTCTGTGGCCCCAGGAGGGAAATACACATCCTAAGTTGGGCCAGTCAGCTTCCCCTCCTCCCAGGAGCTTGGCCCTGAGCGTGGGGAGAGCTGGACTGCTCTCCTTGGGTAGGTGACACTGTCCTCTACAGATGTGGGCCCTGGGAGGCAGCGATGTGCCCCCTGGGGACCGGAGAGCAGAGACAGCCTATGTGTTGGAAGGTGCAGCCAACAGAGGATTTGGAGGGTTTTCCTGATCCCTTCTTGTCCCTTCCTCCCCAGGTCCAGTCACACCCCAGGGTTCTGGGAAGCCCTGCCTGCTCATGATAAACTGCCCTCTGTGCCTAGGCAAAAGCTGGGATTGGCATTTGATACCTGCAGCCAAGCAGTCTTGGCTCATCTACTCCCTTCCCACCTGCTACTACTTCAACCCCTGTATGGGACACCCCTGTGTGGTGTGGGGTGAGCTGGCTGCTAACAGAGCATATGTTCATGGCAGCATTCTCTACCGATGCCAAACAGGGAGCAGGGCAGGGGGGCACCTTTAAAGGACAGTCGTAAGTGGAAACACGGAATTGGGATACATCCAGAGACGCTGGGCTTCTCACATCTTCCTGGCACCATGCTCAAATACCTGTGCTCCTGTCTTCTTCCCCAATAGGTCATACCTGTGAAGGCACACATCGAGTCTCGCCCGTGCACAGAGAAGGCAGTCAGTCACCATTTGTCAAATTAGACTGACTTCAGACCTCACGGTTACTAAGCATCCTTATTGTTCTACTTGGGAGAACACAGGACGATGGCCAGTTAGGCTGTCCACGGGCTGAGGTGACCGTGACAAAGAAAGCAGGAGCCCCACTGGACAGCTGACCCAGCTGAGATTTCAGAATCTGCTCTAGGGGAGAGGTGGCAAAGCTCAGGAAGTCTGGTTCACTCCGGGTCCCCAACCTAAAGCCAGGGAGCCACAGGGGTGGTGCCAGCAGGCTGCTCTATATGAAAGCAAAGTGCTTTTCTGGCATATGTCCACAGTGTTGGGGGCTGAAAGACCCAGGGGAAGGTCAATAGGGAGAGAAAAAAAAGAATTTCATGATTTCATTTCCTTTGCTCCTTGGGATTATACACCAAACGCCAGACTGAGGCCTTATACTACCACAAACTGTATTGTACTTGTTTCTATATCCCTCAAGTTTTGACAAAGTTTTAAATCATCCAATTTCAGATCAATGAATGACTGCTGATTTAGATTGTGGGTTCCGTTCTCTGGCTTCTGCCATGTTCTGCTTCTGCTCCTGGACCAGACTGCCTAGTCCCAGTGACAGGGTCTCCAGAGAGCTGCCAGTCCACATGGACTGTGGCCAAAGGCCGGGCCACGACGTCTCTGACACCTTCCAAGAACACAACACCTCCAGCTCCTGCCCCCACCCCTACCAACTCACTTTCTTCAGTGGAAAGAAAAACCTTCAGTGGGAAGAGGGTACTTTTAGATTCGATTGCTAGGAGGCAGGGGGTGGGGAGGCAAGGTAAGGGGGGGAGGGGGGAGGGGGAGGGAGGCAGGAGAAGCATGATCACCATGAAGTTACCCTACCAGGATGGTATCATTTCTGTTCCTGAAAGCAACTGCAAGGGAAAGGCTGAGGGATGGCACGGAGTACAAGTGTCCTTCTTGTCTTCTGAACAAATGGGACTTCACATGAAAAAACAGAAAGGCACGCAGCCAAAGGCCAGCCAGGGACCAGGTGAGAAACAGAGCGGGGGCTGAAGGTGGCAGGCAGTTCAAAGGCTGCCCTGCTCTCAACATCTCTCCTCTCTTGCTGCCAGGGAGACCAGCTCCCCTCCCAAAGGGCAAACTCCTGTGGCGGGGAAGCCCACTGGGCCCTCACACCTAAGTCAGGTAACCACTTCCAACTGCCCTGCCTTACAGCTTACGCGCTGGGCTTGGGCTGGGGGAGATGGAGGGCAATCTGAAGGGCAGGGCCTCGGGTGCACACAAGCCTGAGGGGTATCTCTTTTGGGGGTCCCGGGGGAGATGGAGTGGCTACGGAGGGCTAGAGGACAGCCAGAGGATACAGATGCCTCGAGGAGAGACGGGACAGAATGTGGGAATGAGAGATAGGCATCCACGGATTCTCTTCAAAAATCCCCCTAGAGGGCTGCTGATGGCAAACGTGTGCTGGTGCAAATGGCCCCAGCGTGGCCAATCTCAGGCTGACAATGCCTGTGATCAGCATCCCAGGAAAGGAATTGGAAGGCATGGTGGGGGCCAGGAGAACATGTGAAGACAAGCACCCATTTCCCTACAGGCACAGGGAGACTCTCAGAAAAGCTGGTTTGGAGGGGCGACTAGGTGGCTCAGTCGGTTAAGTGTCTGCCTTCGGCTCAGGTCATGATCCTGGGGTCCTGGGATCGAGCCCTGCATCGGGCTCCCTGCTCAGTGGGGAGTCTGCTTCTCCTTCTCCCTCTGCCTGTCGCTTCCCCTGCTCTCTCTCTGTCAAATAAATAAACAAGATCTTAAAAAAAAAAAGAAAGAAAGAAAGGAAAGCTGGTTTGGAGACAGGCCCCCTCCCTGCTTCCACCGTAGGGGAGCAATCAGAGGGACAATGGACTCAGGCTGATACCTGGTCATCAGAGCCTCGGGTCCCACCTCCACCAGGAGTTCCAACCATGCTTCCTGGACTGGGGTGGGGAGCACTTCTCCGTCCAACCCCTTGGCCTTAAAAGCTTTTCAAGTGTTAATACGTTCAGAGTTTAGGGCAGCCCCTCAAATATCCCAAAGCCAGCTCAAGTCCTCCCTGGGTAGGCCCTGGCCCTCTATCGTCTGCAAGCCTCTGTCTCTCCATAAAATCACCAGCTCCCCAGGGGCAGGGCTGGGATTGGCTCAGTTCCACTTCCTGGCAGCTGGGCTCCGAAGAGCACTTAGAAATGCCTAGATGGCGAGGATGGCGAGAAGAAGCTGTCATGGCTCTGGCACCCACACATTTGACCGCACCACTTTTCGGTCTCACTGCGTTTCTACAATGGCCGGCTGCCTCCTCCCAGGCTGGCAAGAGGGCCGGGGATCCGCGGCCATTGCCCCCATCCCCACCCTTGTATCATGGTGGGAACAGAACCTGCCCTTCCTGGGGCGGGGGATATCAGACTCCCAGGGCGGACTGCCCAGTTCTTTCAAATATATTCAAAAGGCAAATAAAGTCCTCTTCTTTCTCCAAAGAGTTAAGAACTGGTGGACGAGATGCAGTACGTCCACATACTCATCGGATGGGCTTTAGTGCGGATGCGTTGGTGAAAACGCTGTGCACCTAAAGCTCTCGGGTGCTGGTGGGAAGGAACAGCAGGGCCTGCTGGTGTAAGTACTAAACTGGAGCATGGCCATTCCCCACCACCCAGCAATTCCGCTCCCAGCTGTGAGGCTGACCCCTACGGAATCGCTAATATTTTATTATTTTTGACCAAAAAGATGGCAGTTTCACACCTAATATAAACGGATATGCATGCTCACCCAAAGACACCTGCTACCTGTTAATAGCAGCACTTTTCATAATGGCCCCAAATGGGGAACAACAGCATGTCCCCACCATCAGTGGGAAGGATACACAAACCGTGCTGCATTCACCCACAGGGACTTGGCCAGCGATGTGAGCAACGGGAACAGAGGCCGATGGTCAGACCCAGTGACAAGGTGAGCCCTGCAAAGAAGGCGTGGCCGGACACACAGACCTAACAGAGTGCTGCTGCACAGTCCACACAGATGAACTTCAAGAACACGAGAACTCCATCCAGGCTGTGAGGTGAGGGGGTCCTCCCAGGAGGTCAGGGCACTTTGGGTGTGGGTCATATTCTGCTTCATGACACAGGGGCTGGCTACCCAGATACGTTCAGTTTGTAAAAACTTATCAAGTTGTATGTGCTAGTTCAATCTGTGATCTCCTGCACATATGTTAGAATTCGGTAAGAAGAAAAGGCTGAAGATGCTGTTCGGTTTTTTGTCCACCCCATTCCAGAAGCCAAGCCAGCCGCCAGCTCTGAATGCTGTCTGCTTTCTTCTGTTGGGTGGCCATGACCACAGATAAAAGTTCCTCAGGAGCTTTAAAACCTGGAGAGGAAGAGCCATCCCCAGGCAGGTAAGCAAGCCCACCAGAGAGTACCCTTATCCAAAGCCCTTGGCATCTTCCCAGCTGGACCAGGCTGACCCTCCAGCGCGTCCTCCCTGGACCAGAAGCCCGCGAGGCCCTCAGGGGCCCATCCTGCTCCTGCCCCTGTGGGTGGGCGCGCATGCCGCCACCAAGCCGGCAGGGGGAGTCCTCACAACACCAGCACCGGCCGCTGAGCCCCTGCGGGCTGATCTCAGACTCGGGACTCGGAGTAGGGAGGCAGGGACAGAGGCCCCCATTTTGCAGATAAGGAGGCAGAAGCCCAGAGAGGCTCAAATACCTGCTGAGGTTACACAGCCGGGAGAAGCAGTGCTGAGAGCAGGCGGTGACCCTGATGGGAAAGCTGGGCCGGCGTCCCTGGGGACAGTCACAGCTACAGCCACTGCACAAGGCTCCCCAGTGCCCTCGCCAACAGGGGCGTCGCAGATCACAAGGCTGACCACAGCTGTGCCTGTCGGGGGGTGGCCAACCGCCCACCGGGCCTGGCCACAGGAAGTGCTCCTTCCAGGCCTGACTCCAGAGAGACCTTGCCTGTGGCCACTGTGGGCCTGCAAAAGGGGTTCAGGCTGGGGTGCCCCCTCTGTTGTGAGCAAAAAGTCACTATTTACTGGCCTGACATCAAATACTAGGGGTGTTGAGGCAGGGGAATGTACGGGGAAAGTCCCAGAATGGGGGAGTCGAGGGCAGAAGTAGGGGTGGGGAAGGTAGAGGGTGAGGTGGTTTGCACCTCTGTGTGTGTGCCTGTGTGTGCGCGCGTGTGTGTGCGCACGCGCACGGGCGCAAAAGGAGGAGGGAGGGAAGGAGGGAGGGCGGGAAGGAGAGACATGAAGACACGCCAGGTGGGCAGAAAGAAGAGATAGGGACCACCTAAGAAGGAGGCGGCTCTGCGGTCACCCACACTCCTCCCCTTCCTCAGAGCTTCAGCAAACCATAGCCACCCATTCATTCAGAAAAACAACAACTTACCTATCACCTACTCTACACAGTCAACTGCTCTAGACCCCGGGGATATAATGTCCCTGGACACTCAGGGAACTCAGAGGCAGATGAGAGAAAAGTCAGCCTAGAAGTAGAGAAGACCATAAAAGAGGGTGACAGGAGAGAGGGGATGCTACAAACCTAGGGGTGGGGAGGCCTCTGGGGGCTGTCTGAAGGATGGAGAAGACTTGCACGCAGAGGACGCCCGAGAGAACCTCAGCCAGGGCCCCCCTTTCCTCTCCAAGCTCAGGTGCCACCACCAACTCGGATACCCCGTGCCCACCTCTGATCACAGTGCCTCCTGCCCAGCCCAGCCCACCCCCCCTCTCCTCTTGGCTCCGGCAGACAACAGCACTATTGTGCTCGCTGACAAATGTACCTTCCACCCTGTCACCAGGGGGCTCGGTCTAAAATCCAGATCCCTCTGTGTACACCCAGTTCAGAAACGTGCAGTGGTTCCCCACAGCCCACAGGACAGAGCACCAACTATCAGCATGCACGGCCCACAAGCCCCTGACCATCCTTCTGGCCTCATCTTCTGGCCCCAGATATTCTTCATCACACTCTAGGCTCCATGTGATGGCTTTAAAGCAGCCTCTTCTCTTTAAGACGTGCAGCTTCATTCCCCAACTCTTGAGGCTGGACCTGGGGACTTCCCTTCTAACAAATGGAATAGGACAAAAGAGATGGTGCGTGACTTCTGAGAGTCAGTCCCAAGGGGCACCACAGCTTCTTTCCCGAGCTCTCTTGGATCACTTGCTCTAGGGACAACCCGCTGCCATGTTATAAGGACACTCAGGAGTCCACACAGCAAGAAACTCAGGCCTCCTACCAATAGTCAGGGAGCAGCTGGGGCCTCCTGCCAACAGCCCTGTGGTGAGCCACCTTGGACGTGGCTCCTCCAGCTCATAGAGCTCGCAGATGAGGCAATTCTGGCTGAAGTCTTGACCACAACCTCCCGAGAGTTCCTGAGCCAGAATCACTCATCTAAACTGCTCCTGAATTCCTGACCCACAGAAACAATGAGGTAATAAACATTTGCTGTGTTAAACCCCTAAGTTTTGGGGTAATTTGTTACAGAGCCATTAATACTGAATACATCCCGCATGTGTCATGTGTTCTTGATGCACGTGCTATCCCCTTTGCCCAGGCTACTTCTCACAATGACCTTTCCGCCAAGCTCCCCACATCCTTCAGGGTCCAACAGAAATGTCATCTCCTCAGTGAATCACTCTTTTAACACTGTCTCCCCCGATCCCACCCCGCCTGCCGCAGAGCTGGCCCCGACCCAGTGCCTCACCAGCCCTGCATATGGCTCCAGTACGGCCCTTCCTACTCCATGTTGTCCCCGATGGCTTGGAGGCCTCACAGGGCCCCCCACCTGCCCCTGGGGGCAACAGAGAGCCATGGCACCCAGAATACCAGTGAAGGCTCTGTCAACTGGCTTGAGAGCTACCTCTCAGGGTTTTATTCTAGCGCAATGAGCGGAGAAACAGAAGCATTTCACAAAAGGTATTTAAACCCAGGAGGGTCTCCATTCTTTCCTCCAAATGATGGGAAAGCACGAGGACCCCCTGCTCAGGGGCCCCACCTCACTCAGTGCCAACAAACTGGACGAGGGAGCTTGCCTACCTGGATCAGAGCAAGCACCTTGTCCTGCACAATGGTGGGAGGGTTGTTCTTGGGAGAGATGATTTTGACCAGGACGCTGTCGATGAAATCCCGGTTGGCCACGAGAATGTGGAAGCGGTGGCCACAGTTCTTCACACACGTCTCCAGCACCTGAGGAGGGAGAAGAGGAAAGCAGGGTCACCACCGTGGCAGCCGAGTTTCCACCCCGACCCCACTCTTTGTTTCTCCCACGTGGCCCAACCATCTCCTCCGGGGTCACGCAGGGTCGGCACTGCATCCCTCCATTCTGATTCAGGCATGCCTTGCTGACTAAAGTCGCCTGTCCCTGCACAACAATCAGGCAATTAGTTGGTAATTGAGGCACCAGTTTTGCATGAGAAGGATGCTGGTGTTTTAATGAGATCGAAATGACTGAGCGGTCCCTGAAAATTAGCATTTTAACTCCTCTCTCCGGGCTCCTGGGTGTGAGACATTAGCCAATGGGACTCAGGCTCTGTCACAGAGAGGGCGGCTGTGACAGCCTGAATTGCCGCGTGAATTATTGGCCCTTGGATGTGAGGACGCAAGCAAACACACACAGACACTCACTCACCCTCACACATACACACGTACACACATACACACGTACACGCCCCACACAACCCTGCCTCTGCCACTAAAATTGGCAATGACTAAGGATTTTCTACTCTTTTTTTTTTTAGATTTTCTACTCTTAATAAATGGTTTGTGGGCCTCTGCTGCCAGTCAGCTCCCAGGTCCGTGTTCACTCCAAACCCTGCTCGCTCTTCCCCCGTCTGGAAAAATGAGGTACACAGGTCTTAGCCACTCAAAAGCACAGCGCGTGTGGGTTCTGGCCGGGTGGCCAGTGTGGGCTTGAATCTCAGCTCTGCCACTTCCTCCTTAAATGGCCCAGGACAAGCCTGTCTGAGCCTCAGCTTCCTCACCTGTAAAGTGGGCACATGAGTGCCTCCCTTGCAGGGCTGTAGTAAGGATGAGAGAGTATGTTTGAAGCGCCTAGCACAGTGCCCTGCGTTGGGGGGAGGGGGGGGCAGTAAATGAGGACTATGATGTTATGATTATCATTCAAGAGGCTGCTGTACACACTTGAGGAAAGGAAAAACTTCACAGTCTCCACAGTACAGGGGAGAGGCCCCTTAGAATTCAGGGGTACCCACTGAAAGGTCTCCCCAGCCTTGAACACAGCTTTCTGAAGTTTTTTTTTTAAGACTTTATTTATTTATTTGACAGAGAGACAGACAGCACAATGGTGGGAAGGAAAGGAACACAAGCAGGGGGAGTGGGAGAGGGAGAAGCAGGCTTCCCGCAGAGCAGGGAGCCCGATGCAGGGCTCAATCCCAGGACCCCGGGATCATGACCTGAGCCGAAGGCAGACACTTAACTGACTGAGCCACCCAGGTGCCCCATGAACTTCTCAGCTCTCTGTAAACCAGCCCATACAATCACCTAGCCCTTCCCACACCAGCACCCCCCAGTGCCACGGTCAACTAGTGGAAAATGCCTCCTTGGAATGTGCCCAGCAACAGGGGACATTTCTGACTGCCTGAGTATCTTCAGTGGCCCAGACTGAGCTGATCACTGGTTATGTTATGCAGCCCATTCCAAAGGGCTGGGTTCATACAATGAGCCTTGACAAAGCACAGCCATTAGGAAAGGCTCACACCCTGTTTAACACTGACGGAGAGTGGACTACGAGCTGGGCACCATGCGGGAGCCTCCATGTTATGTACCATTTCATTCCAGTCTCACAACGAATTAATTCTCTTTAAGTGGATCGGCCTTCTCCGGAGCCCTTGCCTCCTCACCCACGAAGAGGCCACAGGGCTACCTCCCCCACCCCCCAAGATCAGCTGGGAGTCCCTCAGATGACAGGCAATGGGTGCCAGATTTCTTGTTCCTTCATCTGGTCCTGGAAATCGCCCGGGAAGGTGGGTATTATCCCATTTTCGGGATGATGAAGCTGAGGCCTGGAGACGCCGGTAACTTCTCCGAGGAGGCCAGAGCTGGCATGTGCCCCCCACCTGACAGCGACAGAGCCAGTCAAAACGGTGCCTTTCCCCACTGCCTGCCTGCCTGCACCATGGGAGGCTCCGGGTTCTGCTCGGCTTGCCCAGGAAGACCCCAAAGCTCAGCTTCTTCGGGTCACCGAGCTTTTCCTCAGCCAAGGGGGCATTCTCTTTCTTAGCCTCTGCATGTGCCTGAATCCGGGTGACCACAAGGTAACTAGCATTCTCCCTCATAGTGACCGTGGGGCCTGCACAGAGGAACCAGAGGGGTTCTTCTTGCCCTCCGGGAACTCACAGCTTCCCTTCTTTCTAGCATCCTCTAAAACCCTCTCGGAACGTTGCCTAAGCAGGCATGGGGCTGCTGAGGCCAAGGCAGGTGGCAGGGAGAATGGTTTATTTTATGAGAAGCAGGTGGGAAGGGAGGGGCAGGAGGCTGGGAAGAAAGCAGCTGTGGTGGGAAAGAACATGGCATAAAGGGGAGCAGGAAGGCCAACATGGCAGGGCCGCTGTGGCTCTGTCACCACACGCAGGGCCAACAGTGGGCGAGGACGCCCATCTCACCTTTGGAGAGCACATCCTTGTGTCTTCCAGGAGAGCAGACTTTAAAGTCAGTGTGGCCTAGGCTGGCCCTTGGGGCTCAGATACAGGTTTGGAAGTGCCCTGGATAGAGGTGGTGTGTGCTCCAGAGCAGCCCTGAAACCTAGCAGAGCAGCAGACACAGGAGGCCCTCCCTGGCCGGCAAGGGCCACTCAGCCACTTCACAGACTCTGCCAAAAATGCCCCTGGTAAATGGGTCCCTGTGGGTTGTAGGGCATGAAACACACCGCAGCCATTTTCCAGCAGCCAAAGCCCACAGAGTGACAAAAGGTGCCTCTAAGCAATCAGAAATGGCGGTTTCAAGTCCATACACTGTTTATACACCAAAGCAGAGAATCTCTCCCAGCCTCTGATGAACTCCTGTTTGGGGTAAATACCAATATCTTTGTCAAAGGCCCACAAGGAGCAGGAGGACTGAGAGCAACTAATACAGTAAAGGAGGACAAACACAGAGAAGCCATAAAAGTAGACATGAGATCACATAACATGCACCAGGCTGGAGCCTTTGGTGTGGGGACAAGGGATCTGCCCATGTCAGAAGGCTCCCAAAGGCATCTCTGGATCTGCAGTGAAGACCTGACCACATCAACAAACAAGCAAACAAAAAACAAAAAACTTAGGCAAAAATTTAACCAAGGAAGTGAAAGATCTATACCCTGAAAATTATAAGACACTGATGAGAGAAATTAAAGCAGCCACAAATAAATGGAAAGCTATCCTATGTTCACAGATTGGAAGAATTAATATTATTAAAATGTCCATACTACCCAAAGCCATCTATAGATTTCACAGGAATTGGAGAAAAATCTTAAAATTCATATGGAACCATAAAAGACCCTGAAGAGCCAAAGCAATCTTGAGAAAGAATAATAAAGCTGGAGACATCATAGTTTCTGATTTCAAACTATATTGCAGCGCTATAATAATCAAAACAGTATGGTACTGGAATAAAAAAAGACAATGGAACAGAATTGAGAGCCCAGAAATAAACCCATACATAAATATATGGTCAACTAATATTTGATAAGAGAGGTATGAGGGTTCAATGGGGAAAGGAAGTCTCTTTGATAAACAGTGTTGGGACAACTGGATTAACCACATGCAGAAGAATGAAACTGCACCCCTATCTTACATCACTCACAAAAATTAACTCGAAATGGACTAAAGACTTAAATGTAAGACCTGAAACTGTAAAACTACCAAAAGATAACACATGAAAAAAGTTCCTTGACACTGGTCTTGGCAGAGACTTCTTTTTTTAAGATTTTATTTAGTCATCTGAGACACAGAGATACAGAGAGAGAGAGAGAGCATGAGCAGGGAGAGAGGCAGAGGGAGAGGGAGAAGCAGGCTCCTCGCTGAGCCAGGAGCCCGATGTGGGGCTCGATCCCAGGACCCTGGGATCATGACCCGAGCCGAAGGCAGACGCTTAACCTAATCTGAGCCACCCAGGCGCCCGCTGGCAGAGACTTTTTGGATGTGACACCAAAAGCAAAGGCAACAAAAATGAAAATGAACAAGTGGGACTATGTCAAATAAAAAGCTTTTGCACAGAAGAAACAATCAGCAAAATTTAAAAGGCACTCTACAGAATGGGAAAAAATATTTGCAAACCATCTATCCAATAAGGGGTTAATATCAAAAATATATAAGGAACTTAACTCAATAGCAAAAAAGCCCCCCAAAAAACAACAAAAAACCCAAACCAATCCAATTAAAAGTGGCCAAAGGTGGGGCGCCTGGCTGGCTCAGTCAGAGCATGTGACTCTTGATCTCGGGGTTGTGAGTTCAAGCCCCATAGAGAGATTACTGAAGTGTAATGACCTCAGAGATTACTAAAGATTACTAAAAAATAAATAAATAAACTTAAGAGATTACTAAAAATAATAGAGATTACTAAAAAATAAATAGAGATTACTAAAAAATAAATAAATAAACTTAAAAGAAAATGGGCAAAGGACTTTAAATAGACATGTGTTCAAGGAAGATGCACAAATGGCCAACAGGAGATTCTCAACATCACTAATCAGGGAAATGCAAATCAAAACCACAATAAGAGATCACTTCACACTTGTTAGAATGGCTATTATCAAAAAGACAAGAGACAAGTGTTGGCGAGGATGTGGAGAAAAGGGAATCCTTGTGCACTGTTGGTGGGAATGTAAATTGGTGCAGCCATTGTGGAAAACAGCACAGAGGTTCCTAAAAAAAAAATTAAAAACATAGCTACCATATGATCCAGCAATCCCACTTCTGGATATGTGTCTAAAAGAAATGAGGGTGCCTGCGTGGCTCAGTTGGTTAAGTGACTGCCTTCAGCTCAGGTCATGATCCCAGAGTCCTGGGATCGAGTCCCACATCGGGCTCCCTGCTCAGCAGGGAGTCTGCTTCTCCCTCTCACCCTACCCCCTTCTTGTGCTCTCTCTCTCTCTCTCTGTCTCAAGTAAATAAAATAAAATCTTTAAAAAATAAAAATAAAAGAAAGAAATAAAAGAAACAAAAACAGGGTATCAAAGAGATATCTGTACACCCATGTTCACTGCAGCATTATTCATAATAGCCAAGACCCGGACACAATCAAAGTATCCACTGATGGATGACTGTATAAAGAAAACGTGATATATGTGTGGTATTTCTTTATCCATGTATACAAACACACAAACACACACACACACAGGAATACTATTCAGCCATAAAAAGGAAGTAAATCCTGCCTTTTGCGACAACATGGATGGACCTTGAGGTCATTACACTAAGTGAAACAAGTCAAATACAGAAAAACAAACACCCAATTTTCTCACTTATATGTGGAATCTAAAAAAGCTGAACTCGGGGCGCCTGGGTGGCTCAGTCGTTAAGCGTCTGCCTTCGGCTCAGGTCATGGTCCCGGGGTCCTGGGGTCGAGCCCCGCATCGGGCTCCCCGCTCAGCGGGAAGCCTGCCTCTCCCCCCTCCACTCCCCCTGCCTGTGCTCTTCTCTCAATGTGTCTCTCTCTGTCAAATAAATAAATAAAATCTTTAAAAAAATAAAAAAGCTGAACTCACAGCAACAGAGTAGAACAGTAGCTGTGGGGCAGGGGAAATGGGGAGATATTGGTTAAAGGGTACAAATTCCCAGCTATAAGATGAGTAAGCTCTAGGGATCTAATGTATAGCATGATGACTATAATTAATAATGCTGTAGTATATACTTTACAGTTAAGAAATTAGATCTCTTTTTTAAAGATTTATTTATTTGAGAGTGAGCAAGTGAGTGCGCATGTGTGCACATGCACGAGCTGGGGGAGGGGCAGAGGGAGTGAGAGAGAATCCTCAAGCAGACTCCCCTCTGAGCGGGGAGCCCGACACGGGGCTTGATCCCAGGACCCTGAGATCATGACCTGAGCAGAAATCAAGAGCTGGACGCTCAACCAACTGAGCCACCCAGGCGGCTCCAAGAAATTAGATCTTAAATGCATCCCCCCTTCCCCAACAAAGGTAATTATGTGAGGGGACAGAGGTGTTTACTAACCTTATGGTGGTAATCATTTTGCAATATACACATGTATCAAATCATCACACTGTATAACTTAAACCTACATGTTATATGTCAATATCTCAATAAAGCTGGAGGAGTAATAATAATAATAATAATAAACCTAACGATCAGGAAAGGTTCAATGATGTTCAGCATGTTCTTCCAGAAGGAAGTAAACACAGAGACCACTTTAGAGAGATTTCCATCCTTGGGCGCCTGGGTGGCTCAGTCGGTTAAACGTCCAACTCTTCGGTTTTGGCTCTGGTTGTGATCTCAGGGTCATGAGACCAAGCCCCAAAGTTGGGCTCCATGCTCAGTGCAGAATCTGCTTGAGATTCTCTGCCTTTCCCTCTCCCCCTCCCCCCACTCTCGTGCACTCTCTCTCTAAAATAAATAAATAAAATCTTAAAAAAAAGATTTCCATCTAACCAACATCGTTACCATGAAGCTGGGAATGTAAAAGGATATGTTTTAGATACCAGGAAACTGCCCAACACCTATAGTTCATTCCCTGGTGATTTTAGTTACTGAAAACAATTCATTTTGGGCCATCACTCTGGGTTTAGTGAATGCCATGGCTCAATTTCTGAGACAAAACCAACAGCTTTCAAGTCACTATTTCTCAGCTGGTCTTTTTCGTCTTTATTATTCATACCCCAATTCCCTGGCAGAGAATATCCTCCTAATAAGTCTTGGGTTTTCACTTGGGTGAAAAATCCAAACAGTTTCTCTGCTTTAAAAGGAAACATGTTATAGCTGTTTTGGATAAACAACAAACTCTTCAAACCTGCAGAGAGGCCCACGTGCCGACCTGTTACAGCTTGCATTATAAGAACTCACTGTGGCCCAGATTTGGCCACATCTGAATAACTGTTAGCTTTCCAGACAGAAATAACACCCGAAGTTGTCCCTTTGAGTTTCGTGACATTTTAAGAAAGGGCAAAAATCTGGTCTGTTTCTTCCCGAAAGGAGTCACTAGGCTGACTTTTTCCAGAATCTCTGCACCAAAGACCAGTTTTAACCCCCATAATCTACAGCTGGGCACTCACTAGCCCGAAGTCTGGGCAAACCCCCAGACCTCTCTCTGGATTGAGGGGATGATGACATCTGTTTGGGAAGGTTACTGCAAGCAATTGCTTTAACACCTGAAAAGCTCAGCACAGTCCGGGCAGGTTCTGGGTAGAAGGCAGCAGGTTTGTAAGGAGGGACTTGATACCTAGGAAGGCAACTAGCGAGGCTGGGTCACAGCAGGCTGGTGGCCGGAAGGGCATCCACAGCCAGGCCTTCAGCTTCTCTGCTCTGGGTTTCTGAACTAGTCAGTGCTGCACGTACCTGATCCTCTGCTCCTATGTACCGGCTTGCAGCTCATCCACCACTCTGGGGGAAGGCAGGCAAACCCAAGCGCACTATGGGAAGGCTCTGCTACACCCTGGTGCTCGCACCAAGCCATCCACAGGCCGTGGCTGCCGGAGGCTGTGCTGAGTGGACAGAGCGAAGGCCCTGGGGGTGGGGCAGGGCCGTGAACGTGGATTTCCCCAGACGCTCTCCCACCCCCACGAGGGCAGCACTCACAGTCAATGCCAGCATGACCTCTCTGTAGTTCCGGTTCCCGTTGAGCCGCTTCTTCAGGGCTCGAATGGCATCCTTTGGCCTAGAGAGAAGGACATGTTAAAATCCTTGCACATTCCACTCGGGGCCGCTACCCTACAGAGTCACTCCTGTTTGTGTGAACCAGCATATATACAAGGTTGCCTGTTACACACAAAGTATTAGGTGGCATATTTATACACATAAAAGATCAGAAACAAATGAAGTCTTCATCATTGTGAAACAGGTTAACTTAAAAAAAATTTTTTTAAGTTTTATTTATTTATTCTTTCAGTAATCTCTACACCCAGCATGGGGCTCGAACTCACGACCCGAGATCAAGAGTCCCATAGCTCTTCCGACTGAGCCAGCCAGGCGCCCTGAGACAGGTTAATTTAAATCATGTTTATCCCACTATATAGCTGCGGGAAAAAATAAAGACACTCCTTGTGCACCAATATGGAGCCAACTCAAAGAAATGTGAATAGAGTTGTGTGCAGAGCAGTGCATAAGGTATGCTCCTCTTTGGCTTATAAAAGGACAACATACATACACACATACATAGTACACAAGCCAGCAGAGAGAAGAGAATCTCTGGAAGGAGCCCCAAGAAGCTGGTAACTCTGGCTGCCCCTTAGGAGGAGAACTGGGTGGCAGAGAGGAGGGAGCGAGAGGTTTCTCACTGGGCTTTTTTGCAGTCCTTTTGCATTTTGCATCACATGCAAATATTCTTTATTCGGAACAATAACTAACCCACTAGTGTGGGGGTACACCGAAGGGACAACAGACAGAGACACAGAAGAAAGAATGGCCAGCTCCCCGTTGAGGCTTGGATGTTCAGCTCCTGCTTAGCAGGGAGTCTGCTTCTCCCTCTGCCTCTCTCCCTGCTCATGCTCTCTCTCTCAAATAAATAAAGTCGAAAGAAAGAAACAAAGAAAGAAAGGAAGAAAGAAAGAAAACTTAATTAAGTCTCCTCAAAACCCAAAGAATTGTGTGTGTTTAGGTAATGGAGCCGATGTGGATTCCCACAGGCACGTTCATAAGCTGATTGTTTGGAACCTGGAACATGTTCTTCCTTAAATCACAGTTAGAGCTAGGAGTGAGGGTCCCCAAACCAGCCCTCTAGAAGCAGCTAGAAGGTGCAGCCCTTGGGTCTAACATGTTATTTCGTTTATTCTAAGCCAGGATCCAACAAAGCTGCGGGACTCATGGCTACCTCTAGCATGAAGCCCCGCCCCCAGACGCCCCATTACCTGCGCTCCTGAGAGTCCCCAGTCCGCCTGCAGACTGGCCTTTTGCTATCACAAGTGGGCTCCAGCCTTCCCCTGATCAACGTGTCAGAATATCTGGGTCTTTCGAAAGTTGAAGGTTTGTAAGTCAGGGACCTCCTATTCCTACAGCTCTGAAATATTTATGATCTCTTTACCAAAGGAAAACGCCCTTTCAAATATGTGTGAGGAAGCTGGGGGAAGGGACAGTAGAAGGTCTGCTAATCAGCCCTATGTAGTCAGAAATACACAGGAACCAGCCAAGGCTTCTAGAAGAGATTTGAAAATGCCCTGAGTCACCTACTTCCCATTCCCAACTTGAAACGTGGCTGCCTGCAGGAATTCTTGGCTCCTGAGCCCAAAGGCTGATGGGACGAGGCTCTCTGGGGAATGGGTCCCTGCCAAGTGTGTTTACAGCATGGCTGCAGTTTCCAAACAGGGATGCTGATTTCTGCAAATACGGGACTCGACAAGCTCCTGGCTTTGAGGACTGTTTGTGGACTTGAGCTGGTGAAGGTCAGTGGCTGCTGGCCAGGAGCGTGGATTGATTTCCTCGCTCTCCAAGGCTCTGCCAAGCCACGGTCAACCCTGACCCACGGCTGCCATCCTCCTCAAGCCAGCTTCATCCCTCTCCTCTTGAACTTGCACGGAGCAGAAAAATGAGAACAGCCTCCAAGGGCCGCGATCACTTAGAGCTCACAGAGCAGAGCGCACACAGAGTTCTCCCAGTGTGGGGGTGATGGTGGTGGTGGAAAAATCAGAGAGCCAGCAGGCTCCTGGGTTAGAGTTAAAATGGAAATTCATCGGTGGCGGGAAGTACTGCCTCAGAGTGACTGGGTGAGCACAAAAGCAAGTATTTATCTCTCTCCCCGGGGGAGAAGCTTCAGAAAGGAGGATCAAAGTCATGTCAGAGGAATTGCAAAGTTTCAAGCAGCCGCTGCAGATTAGACAGCAAGGAGCTGGAATCAGGGAAAAAGGAGAGAAGGAAGAGTCAAGAGCCAAGATGGAGCAGGGGAGAGGAGCAGGAGGGGAGCCCCCACCACCACCGTGAGATGCCCCGCCGCCCTGGCAGCTTGCAGCAGGAAGGTCAGCACCCAGGGCCTCACGATCTGGCCTCTGGGCCATCTTCGGCCTCCCCAAGGTCTCCTCCACCCCAGGCTCATAAGAACCCTTCTTTCTAGTCATACTTGAACTCATCTTGTCCTTTGGCTCCAGAAATGCTGCTCTGGAGCCGCTTTCTCCCTATTCCCTCCCAGGAGGACACGGCTGCCCTCCACCCCCGCTCCAGACTCTTCCTCTCCCTCCCGGCCTCCCTCCCTCCCCCCCCTCTTCTCAGCTGCGTGCTTACTCCTCCCTGCTCACTCGGGCTTAGAGGCTGGGGCCCAAGGATTCCCTGAGCAAGGGAAGGTCCAGACACGGTCATGAAAATGATCCAGGTTAGCGGATCCTTCTCAGAGAGACACATCAGAGTCACCTGGGGAGCACATACCCAATCCACACACCTGGGCCCGAACTAGGTAGGTCTGGGCAAGGCCTGGTAAACAGGGCCTAAAACATTCCCAGGTAGGTTCTTGAGCCAGGCACTCCTGGTTAATGACCAATGATTCAGGAGACGAGCCCTACGATGGAGGGCACCTCAGCCTTGGACACTTTAGGGAAAGCCCAAGGAGGGGCCTCTGGGGCAGTTCACTCAATCTGCACCCACCAGGACCACAACGTCCCAGAGGTGAAGCTCCGAGTAAGTAAGTGTAGGCAGAGTTTTGACAGCTGGAGCCAGGTCAGCGAGGGCTTGCATCCTGCCTCTGCCCTTTTCAGCCATGCTGTGAAGACCTCTGGCAAGTGACCAAACCACTCTGGACCTCAGTTTCCTCAACACGGGCTGCCCCTACCTTCTAGAGTTGTCTCGGGGTGCCACATGAGCTGGTGCGATCCAGGGCTCGCGTGGCGACCTGGCATACAGATGGCAAGCGCTCAGAGCACGGCAGACAGGGGCAGGGCCGTCAATCCACCGGGATCACGACCCAGGACTGGCCAGATGACACTACAAATGAAAGTGGTGGAGGACGTCCCGTGCCGTGTTAAGTCTTTAACGTGCAGGTCTTTAATGGAGAAAGAGCACATCCCTATGCAGAGCACGGACCTGGATCCATACATAGGCAGACACTTCGTAATATTTACTCCTTTGATCCTTCTAACAAGCCTATGTGATAGGCACTACTGGTGTTTACACATTTTGTAAATGAGGACACCAAGACATAGGGACACATGGCAAGGGAGTGGAGGGCCCAGAATCCCAGCCCAGGCAGGTGGCTCCAGGCTCCACGCCCCTAATCCCAGGACACCCCCCTTCCCACTCCTGCCCACCAGCCTGCGTGTCCGCCTTCCCACCTGCCATCCACCCACCTCCCCAGGCGGATGCCCGCCTATGCTCCAAGACTCCACTCGGGGTCACCTCCTCCAAGCAGCCTTTGCTCTGGTCTCGCCCAGTGAGCGGCAGCATCTGTCGGCACGCTGTGTTACAGTTATGTTCTGCATTCCCCATCAGATGGAGTCCGTGAGGTCTCCATCCATTTATTCTTATTTACAAAATGCTTGTCAAGAGTCAATTATACATATGCTGCGCTAGGTGTTGGCATAAAATGGCACGTAGAACAGAATTCTGCCCTCATGGAGCGCATGGTCAAGGGGGGCCTGCAGGGGAGACAGCCACTCTAACGAACATCACGCAGACATGGACATTTACACTGTGATGGGCCTGGTTTCATATAGGGTACTATGAAATCACGTACGGGGGGACTTGTCCAGATCAGGAAGAGAGGGAAATGCACTTCAAACTAAGCTCCAGTAAAAGACAGAACTGATCGGTGAAAGGGAGAAGTGAGACGGAAACAGAAGGAACACGGGGACCGAAGCCCTGAAGCAGGAAGGAGCTGAAAGGGCGCCCGAACGTTAGCTGAACTTCAGAGCTTTTCTCCCGCTTAGGAAGAGATTTGACAATCACCTCACTGTGGAGGCTGAGACAAAAAATCGCCACGCGTCCCTGAGGTGCTCTCACTCAGAACTGCAGGACTGAGAGTGGGCCACTTCAGGAGGAAGGCGAACTGAGTGTTGGGAAAGGAAGGTGACCCACCTCCTAGACTCTGGAAGGAGGCAGCCCGGCTCTCACACCTCCCCACTCTCCCTGCTCGCCCAGACTGTTTGTGGCCCCAACACACTGCCCTTTCATGCTCTTATCTATACTCCGCCTTCTCTTCCTGCCCCAATGAGGCCCAGCCCAAAGCCTGCACCCTGCGCCTGCTGCAATGTGCACGCGCCTCGGCCACAGCCCGCCAGGGCCCGCCAGATGAGCCCCTCAAGAGTATCTGGGGAGCACTAGCCTTGGCATCCTGGAACCGGTTGCACCTCCATCTGTGGGATCCAATGTGGCTGGACAACCAGAGAAAGGAGGGCATGAGAGGGGGACATGAGAAAGAAGGGAGCCCGTGACTGGCATCAGAAATGCACAGCCCCCAACAACTCTGTGACCCGGATGTATGCTGGGCACCAAGCTGACCACCTATATTTAGAGGCAGCAATATGCCATCTTTGACCCAAGATGCCCAAACTTACACCTCCACCGCAGGCCCCTGCCCCCAGCTCCGTAGCCATGCCCGCCAGGATGGGGAGCATCGCACCTGGGGGCCTAGCAGGCAGCTCAGAGCGGTAGGATTTTAGCTGACCTTCTGATCTCTGCTCCTCAGTCTGCTCCCTCCCTGTGGTGGCTCAGCCCTAAACACTGGAGTCTTCCTCTCTCTTCTCTCAGGCCCACATCCATCTCTGCACACCCCACTGGCTTCACCTTCTAAATATATTCTGAAGCTGAGCATTTCTCCCTCCTCCTCTACTGTCATCCGTGTCAAAACTGCCATCATCCCACACCTCCTAACTCGCTTCCCTCTTTCTGCCCTCTGCCCTTCCCACCCCCAGCCAGGCCATTCTGATCATGGTAGCCAGAGTGATCTCTTTAAAATGAGCGTTAGACTTGGGGCACCTGGGTGGCTCAGTTGGTTGGGTGTCTGCCTCTGGCTTGGGTCGTGATTCCGGAGTCCTGGGATCCAGCCCTGCATCAGGCTCCCCGCGCAGCAGGGAGTCTGCTTCTCCCTCTCCCTTTGCTGCCCCCCAGCCCCGCTCGTGCTCGCTCTCTCTCTCAAATAAATAAATAAATAAATAAATAAATAGGGGCGCCTGGGTGGCTCAGTCATTAAGCGTCTGCCTTCGGCTCAGGTCATGGTCCCAGGGTCCTGGGATCGAGCCCCCATCGGGCTCCCGGCTCCGCAGGAAGCCTGCTTCTCCCTCTCCCACTCACCTTGTTTGTGTTCCCTCTCTCACTGTGTCTCTCTCCATCAAATAAATAAAAAAAATCTTTAAATAAATAAGTAAATAAATAAATAAAAATGAGCGTTAGACCAGGTCCCTCTCTGCTCAAATCCCTGTACTGTTTGGATGGGCACATGTCTGACCCCTCCTTGCTCTCTCCATGGTAGCCCCACGAGCCTCTTGCTATTCCTCAAACATACTATCGCGCCCTCTGTCCCAGGACTGCTGTGCTTGCTGCTCCCTCTGCTTGGAAGGTTCTTCCCTGCTGTCATCCTCACACATCACCCCCTCATCTCCTTCAAGTCGCTCTTCAATGTCACCTTCTCAAGTGAGGCTTTCCTTGATTCCTCCACTTAAAATTGCTGACTCCCAGGGGCGCCTGGGTGATTCAGTCGGTTAAGCGGCTGACTCTTGACTTCGGCTCAGGTCATGATCTCAGGATGTGAGATGGGACAAGTCCTGAGTCAGGCTCCGTGCTCAGCACAAGTTCTGCTTGGGATTCTTTCTCCCTCTCCCTCTGCCTCAGCCCCCACCCGTGCTTGAGTGTGCACACTCTTTAAATGAATGAATGAATAAATAAATAAATAACAAATAAAACCTTAAAAAAAATGCTAAGTCCCAGCCTTCACCCTCCCTCACTTCATTTCTTTTTCTTTTTTTTTTAAGATTTTATTTATTTATTTGACAGAGCGAGAGATAGTGAGAGCAGGAACACAAGCAGGGGGA